GATTTGGGTTTTCTTTTTTCTTGATCAGTTTAGCTAGAGGTTTGCCAATTTTGTTGATCTTTTCAAAGAGTCAGTTTTATATTTGTTAATTTTCTCAACTATTTTCTATTTCACTGATTTCTATTCTTATTTTTAGTATATCCTTCCTCATGTTTACTTTGGTTTACTTTCCTTTTTTTTTTCTAGCTTCTTATAGCAATACTTCAGGTCATTGATTTTAGATCTTACTTCTTTTCTAATACTACCATTTAAAGCTACATATTTTAGGGCACATGGGTGGCTCACAGTCACTTAAGCATCCAGCCCTTGGTTTTGGCTCAGGTCATGATCTCATGGGTTATGGTCTCATGGTTGTAAGATCAAGCCCCACCTCTGGCCCCACTCATACATGCACTCTCTCTCTCTTTAAAATAAATAAATCTTCAAAAAATAAAAATAAAAAATAATAACAAAGCTACATATTTCATGCTAACATTGTTTAAGTGCATCTCACAAACTGTTGTGTTTTCATTATCACTCAATTCCAAATATTTTCTAATTTTTCTTGAGATTTTGTCTTTGAGTTATGAATTATTTAGAGTATATCATTGTATTTCCAGATACTGGAAGTCTTCCTCGTTACTTCATTGTCACTGATTTCTTTTTAAGATAGATTTATTCATCTTAGAGAGAGAGAGAGAAAGCATGAACAGGAGAGGGAAGGGGGAGAGAGAATCTCAAGCAGACTCCGCACTGAGTGCAGAGCCTGATGCAGGGCTCGATCTCGAGACCCCAAGTTCACAACCTGAGCTAAAACCAAGAATCAGACACTTAACTGACTGTGCCACCCAGACACCCAATTATCACTGATTCTAATTTAATTCTGTTGTATTCAGAGAATACACTTTGTATGATTTTAATTCTTGTAGATTTATTAAGCCTTGTTTTATGGTCCAATATATAACCTATCTTGGTGAATGTACCATGTGCACTTGAAAATAATACATATTCTGTAGTTTTGGGATGCAGTGTTCTATAAATGCCAATTAGATCAAGATGGCTGATTATGTTGTTGAGATGTCCTATGTCTTTACTAATATTTTGTCTAGTTATTTTATCAATTACTTAGATAGTATGTTAAAATATCCTACTCTCGGGATGTCTGGGTGGCTCAGTCAGTTGAGCATCGAACTCTTGATTTTGGCTCAGGTCATGATCTCATGGATCATCAGACTGGGCTCCATGCCTAGCAGGGAGTCTGTTTGAAGATTCTCTCCCTCTGTCCCTCCCTCCACATGTATGTGCATATGATCGCTCTAAAATAAATAAATAAACCTTTAAAAATATATACTACTATATTGAGGAATCGCCTATTTCTCCTTTTGTTAATTTTTACTTCATATATTTTAAAGCCCTTATTACACAAAAATACATTTATAACTGATATGCTTCCATGATGAACTGTTCACCATTATGACGCAGACCCTTTATAATGCTCTGTCTTAAAGTCTGTTTTATCAATATTTAAAAGTAACCATTGCAGTCTTTCATACTTCCTTTTTGCATGTTATATCTTTTCCCATCCACTTACTTTCAAGCTACATGTCTCCTATAGCCAGCCTATTGTAGGAGTTTGCTCTTTTATCCATTCTAGCAATTTCTGCCTTTGAATTAAAGTTTTTAAGACCATTTACATATAATCATTGCACTGGTGAAATTTGGATCCACCATTTTATTATTTGTTCTCTGTGTTATTTTCCTTCCCTTTTTCCCCTTTCCTGCCTTCCTTTGGATTATTTCCATTTTGTTGGTGATTACCCTAAAAGCTACAGTATGTACTCTTGATTCATCAAAGCCCATACTAATCAATACATTTACCACAGTCTCCTCCTGCCTGAAGAACACCCTGTAGAAGTTCCTTTAGTGCTGATCTGTTGTGGCACATGCTCTCAATTTTGTGTTTATCTAAAAATGTTTCAGGGTGCCTAGGTGGCTCAGTGGGTTAAAGCCTCTGCCTTCGGCTCAGGTCATGATCCCAGGGTCCTGGGATCGAGTCCTGTATCTGGCTCTCTGCTCAGCAGGGAGACTGCTTCCCCCTCTCTCTCTGCCTGCCTCTCCGCCTGCTTGTGATCTCTGTCTGTCAAATAAATAAATAAAATCTTTAAAAATAAAAAAATAAAAAATAAAACTGTTTTCATCATCTTGCCTTCATTCTTGAAGGATTATTTTTTTAACTGGGTAAAGACTTCTAGGATTGCCATTTTCTTTCCTTATAGTAAAAAACGTGACTTTACCCTTTTCTGGTTTCCATTGTTGTTGTTCAGAAAGAAACTGTTAGTTTAATTCAAATGTGCACAAATTATGACCTCTGGGTAAAATTGGGCCCAGTGCCTGTTTTTGGAAAGACAGCTTTACTGGAGCACCACCACAACCATTCGCCTATGTACTGTCGATGGCTGGTTTTGTACAAGGGCAGAATTGAGAGGTTAAACAGATCACATGGTACTAGCATAAAGACATACAAACAGACCAATGGTCTAGACTGGAGAGGCCAGAAACAAATGCTCACTTATACGGTCAGATGATCTTCCATTTCAGATGCTAAGACCACTCAATGGGGAAAGGACAATCTCTTCAACAAATGGTGTAGGAAAACTATATCCACATGCAAAAAAATGGAGTTGCACCCTTATCTTCCATAATATTCAAAAATTAACTCAAAATGAGCTAAAGGCCTAAGTGTAAGACCTAAACTATAAAACTCCTAGAAGGAAACATAGAGGAAAAACTTCATGACATTGGACTTGGCAATGATTTCTTGGATAGGACACCAAAAACACAGACAACAAGAGCAAACAAACAAACAACCCCCCCCCCAAAAAAAAACAAGTGAACTGCATGAAACTTAAATACTTTTAGGTATCCAAGGATCAATCAGCAGAGTGATTATGAATAGAATATTAGCTACATTAATAAATGTGTGACCTTATTCGTTTCTTTTTGCAAACAGGTTACTTATCCTCTCCAAGCCTAATTTTCCCAATCTTTAAAATGATGACAATATCACATTCAATGTTTTTTATGGCATAAAAATGGGTATGCAGCAAATATTAGTTCCTGTCCTTTTCTAAATTGCCTTCAGTCTATGCTGTTGTCTTTAACATTTTCAATGGTGAGAAATTTTAATGTTTCATCATGGATTGGACCATATATTCAAATAAAAGTGACTATACAAGCTAAGTTTAATAAATATGATGAGTGATCTAAAAAGTGTTTTGCAGAAACACTAAAACTAAAACACTTTCATCTAAAAAGTGTTTTGCAGAAAGAACCCTATAAGTCTGAGTAAGATCTTGATCATATCACTATCAGTTTACCTTTTGGAGAATTTCTCAGAGAAGTTCTCAATATTTTTCTATTTTTATAGGCTAAAACGATTGTCCGACCTGATTAATGCTACCTGAATTACATGCTTCTGTCATGCATACAGTGTGAGAATATTAAAGTTGGCCACTAGAGACTTTGATGACTTGTTTTTGAATCATATAAAGAAACATGTTTTATTAGATGTTACTGTTTTCTTTAAAAATGGTTTTGTCCAATTGCCTTGGGAACAGGAGAACAGGGGCACCTGGGTGACTCAGTAGGTTGAGTGTCTAACTCTTGATTTTGGCTCAGGTCATGATCTCAGGATCATGAGATTGAGCCCTGCACCAGGCTCCATGCTGAGCATAGAGCATGCTTAAGATTCTCTCCCTCTGGTGTGCATGGCTGGAGCAGTCAGTTAAGGGTCTGACTCTTGGTTTCTGCTCAGGTCATGATCTTGGGGTGGTGAGATGGAGCCCTGTGTTGGGTTCTGTGCTCAGCAGGGAGTCTTCTTGAGACTCTCCCTCTCCCTCTTGCTCATGCTCCCTCTCTCTTTAAAATAAATAATTTTTTTTTAAAGATCTTATTTATTTATTTGACAGAGAGAGACACAACAAGAGAGGGAATACAAGCAGGGGGAGTGGGAGAGGAAGAAGCACACTTCCTGCTGTGCAGGGAGCCCAATGCAGGGCTTGATCCCAGGACCCTGGGATCATGACCTGAGCCGAAGGCAGATGCTTAATGACTGAGCCACCCCCTAAAATAAATAAATCTTAAAAAAAAATTCTCCTCTTCTCCTTCTGTCCCTCCTACCACTACCCATGTGCACTCTCTCTCACTCTCTCTAAAAATAAATAAATAAGTACATAAAATAGTAGAAACAACTCTATGGGGGCACCTGGGTGGCTCAGTGGGTTGGGCCTCTGCCTTTGGCTCAGGCCATGGTCTCAGGGTCCTGGGATCAAGCCCCACATTGGGCTCTCTGCTCAGCAGGGAGCCTGCTTCTCGATCTCTCTCTGCCTGCCTCTCTGCCTACTTGTGATTTCTCTGTCAAATAAATAAATAAAATCTTAAATTTAAAAAAAGGAAACAACTCTATGTGCCTAAAACCATCATTAATTCTGGATTCCTACAAACCACAAGAAAAACAATACCACCGATTAAAAAGTCATACTTCATACTATCTTTATAATGTGCTTGGGATAATGTCATTAATGACCATCTAATTCTTTTCTGCCACAGTTTGAGCATATCCCCTCTTGTCCTACATTCTGTTAGTAAGAAAATAAGTACGTTAATAATGATAAAGTCTTTGGCACTTGAAGCAGCTGTTAAGTCACTCTTCATCCTTGCCATCTGCAAGTTAAATAACTTACTTTCCTTTGCTTTTACTTAATATGTTCTATCTCTCGGAAAGCTCAAATTTGCAATAGTAGGAAAATACATACATGCAATACTAGAAAAATAACTTTTACGCACTTTTCAAGGACGATTAAGAAAACACATAGGTTAGAATTACAGTTACATAAAAAAGCAATGTGGTAAGTATAATATAATTATGAATAAAAATGAAGACTCAGAAAAAAACTGTCATTCATATATTAATTCCATACCATGGTTCTAATTCTAGTATTCTAGAGCACAATAATCCTTACCAGGGGACTTTCCTTGCTGTGAGTTGCTTCTTCGCTCTCTGTATCTGGCTGGAGTAGATAAACCTGCATCTTTACTTGGCTTGCTAGCAGGCCCCATTTCTGAAATAAGGAATCCCATCTGTTCTGAAGGCAAGATATTCTCAGGTGGATTGGTCTGGCATTTTATACTGGCATCCACCTAAAATATGAAACCCACTCATTATTCTGAATTTATCCCAAATATCTCCTAAAAGTTAAGATATTTTATCAGAGGAGTTCTAATATTGAAACACGATCCAACAAACATATCTGTAAAAGGCTTTTCATTCTTATGAGTGATACCACCTTTGATTTTTTTTGGAACTAATCTGAATATTCAGTAGTAGGATATATATTTTCCCATGCACAAAGCATTGAAATGTATATGGAGCTAAAACATTTACTTAGGGTCAGAAGATTAACCATGAAGCTTGTTGTTGTTTTGGTAAAATTCACACACACATACAAATTTACAATTGGTTAAGACCACTATCTTTCTCCACTCTAGTATCCCTTCCATCAGATTTCCACTCCCATTGGTAATATTAAAATGGTCACTGGCAAAATCCTGTTGAATGATGTCAGTGGAGCTGAGAACACTTTATTCTACTAATTTTGTATTCTTTGTCTTAAAGAGACCCTCAAAATTGTATGAGCTTCCGCCCCTAAAAAAATCTAGATCTGTTCTGTTTATGAGATATAAGTTTGGAGTTCCTAAATTTTCTCTAGAATGCAAATTCCTTTCCTAAGGTGATCAACTTCTGAAATACTCTTATTTCTTTGAATTCATTTTAAATAAAACTATATAATGAAATAAAGCTAAAAGTTAAAAACAGCTTTTAAAGGCTCTGATGTTCAAACATTTTTTAAAGATCTTGAAAGTAATTATGTGAATGCAATTTTAAGGAATGAAATCTAGTACTTTGGATGTGACTATAAAGGAACAAAGAGAAATTTTCTTTTCTTTCCACAATCATATTTGAAACACAATGGGCCTATCTTTGGTCTACAGAATTTATAGTACTATTTTAACACATGATATACTGAGACTCAACAGTTGGGCTCAAAAAAGAACAATGAGTTGATAGATACCTTAAGACAGATAGATCTAAAATTAGAGCTAAAAAAGAATGCATTAAAAAAAAACACAACTGTTGGGCAACCCATTCAGGTCCCCCTCCGTCCTTGGGAGCTTTGAACTATCACTTGGCTATCACTCAATAGACTTTGCTTTGCTATCCAACAACAACGACAACAACAAAAACCACAACTACCAAAAAGTTATCTTGGGAATCTAAAAGTGATGATATTTTCAGTCCCAGTAAAGAAAAAAACCCCAAAATTAAAAAAAAATATGTGTATGTATATATACATATATACACACACATTTACATATGTGTATATGTATATATACATATGTATATACACGGCTAAGATCAAGAAAAAAATAAAAGTAGGAAAATATAAGTTAATTCACAAAAAGTGATTTTAATTTAGAAGTACTTTTACTTAGAATCAAATTTTATTCATTTTTCTGGTCATAAACCAGCAGCAATAAAGGAATTAGCTTCTACCTTCAGAATATGTCTCTCAAACTAGAGTCAGAATTCTGCTTTAAGAATGTAGATAACAGGGGCGCCTGGGTGGATCAGTGGGTTAAGCCTCTGCCTTCAGCTCAGGTCATGATCCCAGGGTCCTGGGATCGAGCCCCGCATCGGTCTCTCTGCTCCGCAGGGAGACTGCCTCCACCTCTCTCTCTGCCTGCCTCTCTGCCTACTTGTGATCTCTGTCTCTCAAATAAATAAATAAAATCTTAAAAAAAAAAAAAGAATGTAGATAACAACAATAAGAATGTAGCTATTAGTAATGAAATTCAAACACAGTATGCTCATAAGTCAAATGAGAATTCAATAATGCTATAAGAAAGTATGAAAAGACCCCTAACCATCTTCTTACCTCCATGCTACAAATGGCTAGGAAAGTCCTGATATTATCTGCCAGATAAACCATCCTTTCTGAGTAGTGGATTTAATCAGCCAGGCACACCTAGTCCATCCAAATTAAGATAGGAAGCAAAACTCAAGGGATGCTTTTAACATGAAAATAAGTTTTATACCACAATGCTCCTACTGCCTCTCTAGAGGCTGACTTCAGACCATAACACAGTAAGAAGTGTGGGGTTTAAGGTTACTTCTTTCTGAATTGTTTGTGCAGAATCACTGGGACAACCACTATGCTTCTGGAAAGCATAATGGGAGCACCTGGGTAGCTCAGTCAGTTAAGAATCTGACTTGGCTCAGGTCGTGAGTTCTGGGTCCTGAGATGGAGCCCCATGTCAGGCTTTCCACTCAGCATGGAGTCTGCTTGTCCCCCTGCCTCACCCCACACCCCGTTTGGGCTCTGGCATGCACTTGCACTCTCTCTCTCTCGCTCTAATAAATAAATAAAATCTTTAAAAAAAAAAAAGAAAGAAAGAAAGAAAGAAAGCAGGGCTGGTGGCTCAGAGGGTTAAGCCTCTGCCTTCGGCTCAGGTCACGGTCCCAGGGTCCTGGGATCGAGCCCCACATCGGGCTCTCTGCTCAGCGGGAAGCCTGCCTTACCTCCCCCCTCTCTCTGCCTGCCTCTCTGTCTACTTGTGATCTCTCGCTCTCTGTGTCAAATAAATAAATAAATAAAATCTTTTTTTTAAAAAAAAAGCATAATGAACTGGTAATAAACCCAAATAAAATGTGAACAAACTCTTCACCAGAACAGTCTTTAGCAAGAAGCACTAGGTACTTTGAGCTTTTTAGGGACTTTTTTCTTTGCCTTACCTGGTGTGTGCTGAATGGTAGCCCTTCCTGCACAAACACTACTGAAGATGGAGATGGATTATGACTTAGCTGCTCCTTCAGTTTGACATGAGCTTGTTGGATGGCTGCAGATTCCTGCACTGTCGTATTTTCAACAGGCTGAGCTGTGTGGATGGTATAGATGTACTCAGGTGACTGTGGTAGAGAGCAGGTAATTGCTTGTTCTGTTCCGACCACAAAAGATGTAATATCTGAGCCTACAGGAGTAAGTGGCTCCAGCTGGCTAGCCTGACTTGTGGAAGATGGATTGCTGTTGTTTGAATTAGCTAGGATATGTTGGCCTCTGTTAGACTGAGATGTTGGGCACTGATTCTCAACAGGCTCCACCTTCACCATCTCCAATTTAGGAGAGGAATGCAACTCATCTACTATCTGAAAAACAGCCTCTAGGTTTACTTCTGTCTTTTTATTTTCATCAGTAGCACTGCAAGGCCAATTAGAAGGCAGAAATTCAACTGGATAGGAGGATTGCATTGGAGGATTCTGGGAAAAGAGAAAATAGGACTGTTTGGATAGAAAATTGAATATGAGATTAAGGAGGAAAGCAATGTTTAAGCTGATAAATGTTAAATAACTTTTAACTAAAGCTCACTAAGAAAACCTGAACACCAATCAACTTTTCAGCAATGGCAGCTTTAATTCTATTGTTAACATTTATTTAGCCACTAATATACATCAACCACTATGCTAAATACTGGAAAGGACCAATAATTCTCAGGGTTAAAATATACAAAATCAAAAAGCTACAGTACCCAAATATATATCCGCTGATAAAATGCCAATACAACCAATTCTTTCATAAGAGTTGACAGACAAAAACATCACTTATATCTATCCTATGCTACTTTAGGAATGTAGTAAGGAAATTTCAAACACAGGATGCTCACAAGTCCACCAATGCTTCTATAGATTCAGGGGGAGGTACTGATATTCTGTTCCAAATGATCTGGGAAAAAATGGATGGAATATCGAATGTCCTTTGGTTCCTGAGATTATTTATTTTTAATAATAAAACAGATTAAAAAGAGCTGTCACTTTTAGATATATTCTTTATATCTTTAAGATGTATTCTCTTATACATTAGTACTTTGCACAAAGTAGGCATTCAATTACATATTTGGGGATAAATAATCTCACGCTATGAATATAAAATACTGAAGAGTAATAATTAAATAAAACATGTGATAGATTGGTGTTGCCAAATACATGACAAAGGCTGAGTCAGTTATTTGAAGGACATTAATGCCAAATAATGTAAATTTAAATGGTTTAAGCATCAAGCCACTTTCTCTAGCCAATAGCACCATTTATTGAGTTCTTACTATGTGCCAAGCACATGCAAAGTACTTTATATACATTATTCCATTTAATCCTTGCAAGAGGCCTATAAAATGTGATCATCTCCATTTCCAAATGATGAAACTGAAGTTCAGAGAAACTGTGTATTTACCTAAAGTCACAATGAAATAACTGACAAATCCAGGTTTCAAACATAGGATGCCTGACTTCACAGCTCTTGTTCTTAACCATTACACTATAATGATCATTCATGCACACTCTCACCAATATCTATGATCCAACAAAACCAATTGCATTTATTTCCAGAATCACATCTAAAAATGTTTTTTTCATTTTAAAAATGTTATGTCTACCTATCTTTATTTTCCTATAACAAACAAGTATTGTTCTTTCTATAGTAAGGATATTTCTAAGGATATGTTAAATAATTTATTTAAAACATAAACATAAACAAGACATAAACACCATCAGAGTATCTCCAGTATGATCCAAGGGAGAGAGTGCCTGGATCTAATTTGTGGGACAGATATGTCCCTCTAGCGAAGATGAACAGACTGGACTATCATGCTTGATAGTCCACTGATGGTACCTGCCATTAAAAGTGTCCAACTAAGTCCCTTTGATCCGGTTCTATATTCTTCAAACAACAATCTGATTATAATTTGGATTTCCATGTAATTTTTTCAAAATTACTAGAGGAATGCCACTAGTAAGCTATTCTCTTAAAAACAGAAGCTATCTCTGGGGCGCCTGGGTGGCTCAGGTAATCATCCCAGGGTCCTGGGATCCAGCCCTGTTTCTGCTCAGCAGGGAGCCTGCCTCCCTTCCTCTCTCTGCCTGCCTCTCTGCCTAATTGTGATCTCTGTCTGTCAGATAAATAAATAAAATCTTAAAAAAAAAAAAAACAGAAGCTATCTCAACTACATGACATCAAAGGCAAACACAAAATTCCAATCTTTAAACAATTATAGCATAAAACTACAAAGAGTGAAATTTAATCTTATTCTAGGGGCGCCTGGGTGGCTCAGTGGGTTAAACCTCTGCCTTCGGCTCAGGTCATGATCTCAGGGTCCTGGGATCGAGCCCCACATCAGGCTCTCTCCTCAGTGGGGAGCCTGCTTCCCCCTCTCTCTCTGCCTGCCTCTCTGCCTACTTGTGATCTCTGTCTGTCAAATAAATAAATAAATTGTTAAAAAAAATTTAATCTTATCATAGAAATAGCAATCTAAAACATTTAAATAAAACTCAATTGCTTCCCAATAAATAATGTGAAAATAACTGAAGTATAGTGTTCACAATATGGGCGCAAAAAAGGATCACCACTTAAATTTCTCATTTTTAATTTCATTTTCCTTTCTCATTAAAAAAAAGTAACTCTCTGTATCATCTTGGAAGAAACTGTCATTTGGTGGCTTACGTACTTTTAAAGGTTATCTGGTATTCATTTTACCACAGAAGAGCCTAGAACAGGATACTCTTTCAGCAATGATGAAAATGCTCTCTGTGCTGTACAATTTGGTAGCCACTAACCATATAAGACTCTGAGCACCAGAAATGAATTTTATATTTTATTTCATTTAAATTAATTTAAATAGCCATGTAGCTACTGCCTACTCTTTTGGACAGCACAGGCCTGGAAGAATCCTCAGACATCATTTTTATCAACCCCCACCTTTTTTATTTTTTAGAACTGAGAAAACTGAAGCCGTAATCCACAGCTTACTTACTATTAAGATAAAATTACACTTTAAAACTGTGCAAGGTCAATAATATTCCACGTGAAATAGAGTGTGTGCACTGTTCCAAGACTCTTACCTGGAAGTAGTTGCAGTGTGCATAGGAAGAGGCAGTGGGAGTGACACAACTACTTAGAGCGTCCATATGGGCAGAAGGAGAGCAGCACTGTAGCACAGCTGGGACAAATTCAAACAGAGAAGAGTCATCAACCACAATTTACCTCTGGCAGCATGTAAGGCACTCCCCTCTTTCCACTTGGAAAGAAAAATTCCAAGTTTTCCTTTGTGGATGCAATAAAATTATGTTTAGTCTGATTAGGTGCTATTATTTGTTAAAAACAACAGGGTAATAGACTAATTTAAAAAAATCATTTTAAAGGGTCATGTCCACTTTTCCAAATGATATCTTTAGCACCTAAACATTACTTTTCTAACCAAACATTTATTCTTATTGAAAGTAATTTCACTTTATTGAAAATATCAGAACGTATTTGGAATACAAAATAATTGTTTCAATCATTTTAATAGTAATAATAATTAGGAGGAGGGTATGTTTTAAGGATAAAATAAGTGAAATACTCTCCAAACATGCCTACCATTATACAACGCATCTAGTAAAATCCAGACAAAAATGTTTTAACCATTTTAAAAAATAGTTAAGAATTTAAATCCAAGAGCCAGACTGATTGGCTCTGGAGCCCAGCTCCAAAATTTTAATAGCTGTATAAACTTGAGCAAGGTTAATCTCTTTTGGCCTCAGTTTCTGCATCTTAATAAAATAGGGAAAATAACAGTATGTACCTTACTATGTTTGTTGTGAGGAATGAACGAGTTAATATGCATAAAGCACTTGGAATAGTACTGGCATACAGTAGGCAATCAAAAAATAAATAGCTAATGCTCCTATTATTTTAACCAAAGAAGTGTATCTTCCAAGCTTTCTCTTTATAGTTAGGATACCATAAAAAGATTAACTCTTTGTACTGGTATAGTTATACTTACAGATGCAGTCTTAACAATAGGCTGAGTCTCCTCTTTTCCAGAGAGAGACTCTCCAGAACGAATGAGAATCAGTTATAACACATCACACCTTTGGATTAAACAGAGGATGACATTTATTGAGCACCTACCGTGTTCCAGGCACAGTACTAGGTGCTTTACATATATTGCTTCATTTAATCCAAACAACAATTGAATGAGGTACTAACATTACTTTACAAAATTAAGGAAACTAAAGCTCAGAGATGTTAAATAATTTCCTGAAAGTCACAAAGCTAATAGTGACAGAGCCAGCAAACTTCAGAGCACATGCTCTTTAATGTACAATACTTCGCTAATCTTTCCTTCTTCCTAAAATGTAACATTATAATTTTACTAGAACTCCACTTGATGAATATATTTTTAAGTTGTTTTTATGATAAGGTAGCAACTTTCTATGTCCACATTTTTCATATTTTGTATATTTTAGCATACTAATAAAATTACTAAACAATCTTATTCTATGATCTTAGAAAGTAAATTAACCTAAGGATTATAAAAATTCATTGCAATGTTTCCCTATTTCTCTATTATTGACTACTGATTTTTAAAATGTCAGAAGTTCATGAAGGTATACCAGAAATAAACATTTTCTGGTATCATGTGTAATTTAAGCCATTAAATTTTGCACATGGAAGGAAAAACTTGAAATAATGGACAAAATTCTAGTTTAGATACACATGTAAGGGCTAATGTTTTCTGAATTACAATATTTTAACAATTCCAGTGATTAAAAAAGCCAGACTTTAAAATGGCCACATAAAATTCATGCTCTTATCACTTCGAATATAGGTTAGGTAAGAACATTCTTAGATTTAAACTTTGGGATTATTCAAATACACAATTCCAATGATTTAAATTTGTTTTCCCCAAATATTTGAAAGCATACATATCCTGGGAAAGAACTTAAATCCAAAAATTAAGACACCAAGGAGGGGTCTGCTGGATTGGCCAAAACTTGGAAAAAAACTGGGACATTTTTCCAGTTTTAACAGCTAAGGAAAACCTAGCCCCCTAGTGGCAAGAAGAGACTCAGTCAGGAACTGCAGGTTTTCACTCAACAGGGTACCATGAAATAGTATTTCATTACGAATAAATCAACGAACGGTATTAGGTTTATTTTTCTGATATTGATCTGATTCCATCGCTTACATATTTTAAATAGCTGTTAAAGTGTACTTTAAAATAAATTTCTTGGATTGGGGCGCCTGGGTGGCTCAGTTGGTTAAGTGTCTGCCTTTGGCTCAGGTCATGATCTCAGGGTCCTGGGATGGAGCCCTGCGTCGGGCTCCTCACTCAGTGGTGAGTCTGCTTCTCCCTCTACCTCTGCTCCCCGCCCCCCACTTGTGCTTTCTTTTTCTCTCTCTCAGATAAATAAAATCTTTAAAATAAAATAAATTTCTTGGGTAAGTAAAGTAAAATATACAACAGAGAGTATATTAATATATAGCTAATAGTTGATTTGGTATCTAAGGAAACAGCAAAACAGTGAAAGTCCTTTTAAGTGTCCAGTAACAAATGGAAAGTGGAAAGCTACCTGCAAAGGGGGACGTGAATAGATAATCCAAAAAGATTCCCAGTGGCTATTTCCTTACCAGTGCAGTCCTACCCTGTATGTACAGTTAACAAAATAGAACAAAGTAAGATACTAGTAAGTTTACCGGATAGGAAAAACCTAGCTATAGAAATGCAACTCGGGATGCCTGGGTGGCTCAGTTGGTTGGACGACTGCCTTCGGCTCAGGTCATGATCCCGGGGTCCCGGGATCGAGTCCCACATCGGGCTCCCAGCTCCATGGGGAGTCTGCTTCTCCCTCTGACCTTCTCCTCGCTCATGCTCTCTCTCACTGTCTCTCTCTCAAATAAATAAATAAAATCTTTAAAAAAAAAAAAAGAAAGAAATGCAACTGTGTGGTTAATATATGACAAACTAACTCTGTTTGTATTATGAAAACATTGTGAAGGTACTGACATTTATAAAACTGTGTTTATCACTATATCCTAAGGCACATTCAGCTGCATAAAGATCTTCCACTGTCTTCCTGAAGGCAGTATTCACTCAAGGCATTTAATTGCACAGAGAATGAAAAACTGGAAATAATAGACAGAATTCTATTTCAGATGTAAATATAATAGTTAATGACATTTTTAAAAATATTTTTAAAACCTTTTTAGTTAATGACATTTTAAAAAACAATTCTGGTAATTAAAAAATCCAGGAGTACTAAAAATTATCTAGGTAAAAATTTTCACTCCTAGTGAAAAAAATTTTCACTATGGGTTAGGAAAACAAGTTCATATTTTTTTATCCTATGGAGGTAATTCAAATACACAATTAAAATGTTTTAGACTCGAGTCTACTTCAGAATAAGTACAGTATCAACAGTGAGAAAATGCCAGTATAAACGCTCAACAGGAAAAACATCTCAATTGTAAATTTAGTTTCAAGATAAGCTACTACACATCTAGAAACCCAATATTTCCTTACTTATAGTAAGGTAAAGGTCTTCTGGGCATATCCCCAAAAAAGTGAAAGCAGGCACTCAAATACATATTTGTGCATCTGTGTACACAGCAGCTTTGTTCATAATAGTCAAAAGATGGAAGCAACCCAGTGTCTACCAACAGATGAATGCATAAAAAAAAACTGGTACATACATACAATGGAAAATTATTCAGTATTAAAAAATAAGGAAATTTTGACAGATGCTAGAGTATCAATGAACCTTGAAAACAGTATGCTTAATGAAATAAGCCAATCACAAAAGGGCAAATGTTGTATGATTCCTTTTATATGAGTCTCGGGGAAGACGAAGTAGTTCTGGAGATGGAAGGTGGTAATACTAGGATATACAACAATGTGAATGTATTTAATGCCACAGAACTGTAAACTTAAAAATGGTTAAAATGGTAAACTATGTTATTTATATTTTACTTCAATAAAAAGAAAGGCAGGGGCGCCTGGGTGGCTCAGTGGGTTAGAGCCTCTGCCTTCGGCTTGGGTCCTGATCTCAGGGTCCTAGGATCAAGCCCCACATCCGGCTCTCTGCTCAGCAGGGAGCCTGCTTCCTCCTTTCTCTCTGCCTGCCTCTCTGCCTACTTGTGATTTCTGTCTGTCAAATAAATAAATAAACAAATTTTTAAATAAATAAATAAAAAGAAAGGCGATTACAATTGTGCTTTTGCCTAGTTTCTTCTGGCAGCTAAAGAGAATTTCCTGCCCCTCTTTTCATAAGAACAAAATCAGGCCTTTTCAAAGACACTGATGATAGAGGATAGAGGCTACCTGAGCTCAAGAACGACAGCACTGGGAAGCTCTTATAACTCCAGGTGCTGTATCTGTTTATGTACACTATATAGAATTAAAAGCCTGAAGATAAAATCTTTAGAATTTAAATGTACTTTCAAACAATAATAGGGGGTGCCTGGATGGCTCAGTCAGTTAAGCATCCAACTCTTGATCTCAGCTAGGCCCTTGATCTCGGGGTCGTGAGTTCAAGCCATACAGGGGGCTCCACACTGGGTGTGGAGCCTACTTAAACAACAATAACAACAACAACAACAACAAACTCACAACAATAAGCAATTCTTTTTGCCCAAGAGTCAAGTCAAAAAAATTTTAAATAGGGGCGCCTGGGTGGCTCAGTGGGTTAGGCCTCTGCCTTTAGCTCAGGTCATGATCTCAGAGTCCTGGGATCGAGTCCCGCATCGGGCTCTCTGCTCAAGCAGGGAGCCTGCTTCCTCCTCTCTCTCTCTCTGCCTTCCTCTCTGCCTACTTGTGATCTCTGTCTGTCAAATAAATAAATTTTTAAAATCTTTAAAAACATTTTTTAAATAATGATACAATATGTATTTTTTCAATAAAAAATAAAAGCATCATATGTACCTTGCAGAAGTTGTATATTCTTACAAACTACTGTATTTAGATTCTAGGATGTTAATATGTAGGTTCATTTGAAAGACAGCTTTTAAACTGTTTTATCCTTTCTATGTAAATAGTGTTTTAAATTTTATAAAGTCTATTCACATACATTAAATTCATTTAATCCCTGACCTGAAGTACTATTACCACTTACAGGAAGGGAAATTGAGGCGAGTGTCATGAAATAATCCAGTGAAGATCAGGTTGAATGATTAATTACAAAGTGGAGACTAGAGTTATTTCATTCCATTCATACACTATTTACTAGGGAACCACTATAGCCGAGGACTACACTAGGTACAGGGGTATACAGAAATGAATTAGAGGCAGCCCCACTCCTCAGAGGCACCAAACCAGACATCCCACTCTAGCAGTTGGGTGTATGTTCTCACTGCTTAGGGAGGACGAGCCAATAATCCAGGTTAGTCCCACTGCCACCAGTAGCATCCCCATCATTTCCTATTGTCTGTCCTATCTGGGAGTAACTGATTCTGGGGAGGAGACATACCAGGAAAGAGTCTCACAAAGGATAAAATGAAGAGTTCTCTGTATGAGAGGCAGACAGGTAGCAGAGCACAATGGCCAAAAGGATGGACTCCTGAGTCAGCTTGCCTGGCTTTGTTCCCCAGGCTTGCCTCTGAGTAGCTGTGTTTCCGTTTCCTAACCTATAAAATGAGGATAATTACATTTCTAATCTTATAAGGTTGTTGTGAGGATTAAATGAATTGATATTGGAAAATATTCAGAACAATGCTTGGTCACAGTGATTACTATATAAATAACACCAGAGGGGAAAAAATGAACCCAAGATAAAGCAAGACTAAAAAGAGTCAGTCAATACTGGATCTACAATATTTTGTCTTTGAAGGAGTGATAAGAGTGGAAAAAAACGTAGTGAGCTAGGCAAAGAAAACAGGCGCTTCAAGAGAGGAATGACGAATGTAAGCACAGATTCAGATGAGTCATTTTATGAGTCAGTCTGCCAGCAATTTTCCAGTCTCAATCTTTGGCTTTTATAGAGAAACTGATTTATAAAATATTACAACATTCAAAATTTACTGGTTATACTCTTTGGAGACCAGATCAAAATTTATTATCAATATAATTTTTAAAAAGATGTTATTTATTTATTTGACAGAGAGAGAGAGAGAGCACAAGCAGGGGAAGAGGCAGAGGGAGAGGGAGAGGGAGAAGCACGCTCCCTGCAGAGCAGGGGAAGCCCAATATGGGCCTTGATCCAAGTTCTCCAGGATCATGACCAAAGGCAGTGGCTTAACCAACTGAGCCACCCAGGTGCCCATCAATATAATTTTTAAATGAAGTCAGTTGCTGCTGCTTACTAAAATTTGATCCAACCCTCAAATTCTTCAAAAGGATTTAAGTATGACCATGATTCCAAAATTAGTTACTTCATTATTATTTTAAGAGCTGGATTTGCGAGTGATTATTACCCTGCCTCTGAGAATGATATTCTATTTAACTTTGGAAAAGTCATTTGTAATGCTCTTCATAAACAGGTACTCACTAAATACTGGTTAAATTGCTCACTACTTTTTGCTTCCTTCACCTAAGATCTGGAGGAATCAAATACTTCTACGGTATTTTTACAGCACTTTCTTTTCCATAACAAGTCTTTTGTATTTAACAATACAACTTTTTATTTATGTAGTACTTCAGAATGTTCAAAGCAGTTTTGCTTATTATACTATATCATAGACCTAATCTATGTATTAGATGTCGTCATGAGATCATGACATTTCTTATTCTTATGGCCTCGGAAACATTATAGTCATTTCAATTTGCCCTATTAAAGAAAATAAAACAAAAATTCAGATAACATAAGATTCTCTTTCACATGCCCTGTAAGCTATCAAAACATCAGCAGCACTTACTTGTTCTTTTAATGTCTCTTTCCTAGTCCTTACCTTGAACTCTTGGAGACAATTTTTAATTTATAATTTTACATCCAAGCTAACAGAAAATATTTTTAATTAACATATCCTAAATAATAATAATTTAACAAGTAGTATTTCTATAATGAATGAATAATATCAACTATTTGTATTGTCTTCTGGTACATAATACATAAGTGGTTCCCATAAAATTTGGAACCAAGGGTTTCTGAGGATTATCTGGAACTTGAAATACATTTTCCCATAGAAACAACATCACATAGGCTAATTTGGCTCCTATACCAGATTATAACCATCTGTACCATAAGTGTACAACTGATAGTAATACAGAACCTAACCACCTTATCTAATACAACCATAGGAAAATGCCTCCAAAATTACAAATTGGAAGGTTAAGCACATTTCTACATTTCTTCTTGCTGCAATCCTTCCAAATTTAAACTCCCCAGAAGCTTCTGAGTCTTTAGCAGTTTGGGGGGGGTGGTTTGGAGGGAGTATAGGAAAGGAGAGAGAAACACTGGTATAAGGAAGGGAGGGGGGATATTATCCAACTGATGGGCTGTAGAATGTAAAGCGAGTGTAAGGAAGACACAGACTCTGTGTATGTATATACAGTCCAGGCATACCCAGAATGCAGCTGAAATTATAATTTAGATAGTAATGTCTAATCTGTTTATTGAAATGTTTAATTAAACTATTCACCAATAAAAATCTGACCCTATTTGTTGGTATACATAAGATCTAAAACTTCTAACATGAATTTACTCATCTTCTATTTTTCAAGATCACACAGATATTTTTGTTTTTCAAAGAAGTAGCTGAAAATCTGGAAAAATACTAGACTTCAACCTTTTCCTGCATAAGAAGTAAAAAAAATTCAGATTTCTAACAGGCAAAATTAATAAAAGTACTAAGGCATCCTTAATCCATATACTTTCTTTGTCTTTTCCTTCTCAACTCCATCCACCCAAACAGTAGCAGCTCTAAAAATACATGAAACCCAATCTAATTTAAATTCTTGTTTTATTATTTTAATATTAAAATATTAAATATTTTGAGAAAATAAAACAATTCCTTTTACTGCCATATTTAAGTAGAATGCAATGAGCCAATAATAAAAGAATACAGTTGGATGTTACAGCTAGAAAATAGTGAGACCTGTTACAAACAGACGTTACCAGATTTATAACTTGTAAAGGTCAACAAATTATTTTATTCCCTTATCAAATTTACATCCTTCCACTTATTTTAGCTTTTGACTTCCTCCTGTCTGAGAGAAATGTAACAAAATACCTCTAGAGATAGCTTCCAGAGCTACATATTTGAGAAAATTAATATTCCTAGAGTCTTAACAAAAGAATGCCTTCTTCTCTCTCTGGTCTTTTCTGAAAGCCTTGATTGACCCTTGTCTTATTTCCATTGCCCCATTTCGTCACTCAGTATTAAAGTACTCTGCATGATGAAACACAGCATGACTACATGGTGCTCCTACAAAATTGAAGATACATTTGAATGGAAAGGAAAGGCTATTATCTTGCAAAACTGTAACCCTCCCAAAAGATACTCCCCTCCCCACAAGAAGCTAAACACAGGGTCACTATCATAAGGATTCCTGATTAGTGGCTTGAGATCTACAGTATTTCTTCAACGCCCTTGGCTGAGCTCTAAGTCATTTGTCATTGTCAGGTTCTCTTCTCTGCTACTCTGCACTTCTCAGTTGGCTGGGATTAACACTGCAGGGACTGCATTGTCAAATCACACGATCACGTTTTTACTAAAAGAATGTAATTTTGTTTTAAGAGCTAGAGAGTATGTTCTTTTATTAAACTTCATTACTGAGATACTAAAATGATTTCATTATGAGGTAATCTCACCTATAACGTTAAAAAATACAGTACACACAGTTGACCATTTAACAACGTGAGTTTGAACTACGTGGGTTCACTTATATGATATGAGGATTTTTTTGATACAGTACAGTATTGTAAATGTATTTTTTCTTAGGATTTTCTTAATAACATTTTCTTTTCTCTAGTTTATTGTAAGAATATAGTATATAATACATATACAATGTGTTAATCAACTCTTTATGTTATCTTAGGTAAGGCTTCTAGTCAACAATAGGTAATTAGTAGTTGAGTTTTGGGGCAGTCAAAAGTTATACACAGATTTTCAACTGCATGGGGGTCAGTACCCCAATCCTGCATTGTTCAAGGGTCAACTATAACATGTATATAATTTTTTTTTTAAAGAAAAGAAACAGAATACTGCACCAACAGCAAAGTTAAAATGAGGTCTCAATGTACTATATCCTAATTTCATTACTAGGACACATTTCAAAGATACAAAAGTTTCACTAAAAACATATACTTTTATGTACCCAACAGAATTTTCACAATCCTTAAGAACACAATAAAATTTTATATATTGCTTAAAAATATGCCCTCATGAGAAACCTTTGACATTCCTTAGGTATGCACCTATTCCTATTTTTAAGCATGCAGAAATGCATAAATATATAAACTTTCATCATAAAGTACTTTAAGAGAAGCCACTGAACTTGAATTTCTCATACCTGTTGGATAGTAGGCTTGGGAGTACTGCGCTGAGGGTGTGTAGTTACTGTATTTTTGGGAGGAGCTGACCATTGTTTGAGGACCTTGCTGAACGTGTACGGATGTGGCACTTGGCTGCAGGGTATAGGTAACCTCAGTTGGAAACCTCTGCAGTACAGGAAATGGAACCCCTTTATCTGAAAAAGTGGGAGATGTTTCCACTTGTCCTGGGTGCATTCCAAGGGAGTTCTGCCATGTTCTAGGAGGAATCGGGGTCCGATCTAAACCTTTCAGAGGGAAAGTACTGTGGTTGTGGGATGAAGTCGATACGTAGGAGTAAGGAGACAAACTATCTCGCCGGAATGACCGGTGGAATTGTCCTACAGCCACTGGTCCTGCATAAAAAAAGGAAGAACACACTTACTAATTTTACTTTATACCACCGGATAGAGTAAACCAAAAGTCACAAAATATGAATATGTTGAATTCTCAGCCATTTTCAACAAAACAGAAATTTAGTTCTGGTGGAAATAAGCTCAGAATCCAGAATACAAATAATGCTAAAAAAAAAAAAAAATCAGACTTCTGGTTGGTTCTCAATATTACTGTCAGAAGAGACAAAGTAGCCAAACTCTAATATTAAATCAAATGTTAAATCAAATTCAATGTTTAAAGCTTTTTATAGACAATTCAGTCATCTTACCTTTTTTACCTCAATTGCCTCAACTGATTGACCCAGATTTTTCCAATCTGTAAGCTACTTCCTACAAGTTTTAGAAATTCCATTCAGTCCTTCAAATCATTTAAAAACCTTAATAATAGGTACATAAGTAAACACTCAACTGTATATATAGAAGAAATAAGTGTAGATAAAGTAAGAACTATAACACAAACCAAAAAGAAAGTTAATGGTCTTTACTCCCCCTTCAATTTTTTTTTTTTTTTTTTTTAATGATAACCTTTGCAGAAAAGTCAGGCTTGAAAACTCTGACTCAGTTTTCTTCTTCCTTTCTTAAATTAATCAAAAATTTTCCAGGGTCTTTTTTTTCTTCAGAGGATCTCTAGTAGAGTCCCTTCCTAGATATTAGTAGCTCTCAAACAATTGTTTACATCTGAAATCACCTGGACAGTTTGTTAAAAATCGACACTCAGGCCCAAAGATTCTGATATTTGCTTTCTCTTATCTGGTAAGGTAGAAAGGAATTAAAAAGTGGAGATGATGAAGAGAAAGGGCAATATCATATAAAGGGGAAAAAGAAAATATACATGTTGCAAGCTGAACTTATTTTTCAGACCGTAATTCTTGAACATAAAGGTAGGCTAATTTATTCCCAGGAAGGCATCATGTATTAAATTATGTGGTTCACAAATTCCTTTCAATTTGTTTTATTAAGCTAATCTATTTAAAACAGAGGGAAAGGGGTGCCTGGGTGGCTCAGTGGGTTAAGGCCTCTGCCTTCGGCTCGGGTCATAATCCCAGGGTCCTGGGATCGAGCCCCACATCTGGCTCTCTGCTAGCTGGGGAGACTGCTTCCTGCTCTCTCTCTCTCTCTGTTTGCCTCTCTGCCTACTTGTGATCTCTCTCTGTCAAATAAATAAATAAAATCTTAAAAAATAAAATAAAATAAAACAGAGGGAAAGTCTAATTTATGTGCTACTTATCTGTTAAACTACGTGATAAAGGATGGCACTCAAAAACCTACTTTTCCAAATATTTAAACTGGAAACCCATTCAATATGTTATACATCTTTCATTCTATTTCTTTGGTGTTTAATTTCCTTTAAAAAATTTCCTCTATGCTGTGAAGTGTGTAAACCTGGCGATTCACAGACCTGTACCCCTAGGGATAAAAATACCTTATATGTTTATAAAAAATAAATTAATTAATTTTTTTAAAAATTAAGAATTTCCTCTGGGGGGCGCCTGGGTGGCTCAGTGGGTTAAAAACTCTGCCTTCTGCTCAGGTCACGATCCCAGAGTCCTGGGATCAAGCCCCGCATCGGGCTCTCTGCTCAGCAGGGAGCCTGCTTCCTCCTATCTCTCTGCCTGCTTCTCTGCCTACTTGTGATCTCTGTCAAATAAATAAATAAAATCTTTAAAAAAAAAAATTTCTTCTGGGATGCCTAGGTGGCTCAGTGGGTTAAGCCTCTGCCTTTGGCTCAGTTCATGGTCTCAGAGTCCTGGGATCGAGCCTCGCCTGCTTCATCCCCCCCTCTGCCTGCCTCTCTGCCTACTTGTGCTCTCACTCTCTCTCTCTGTCAAATACATATACATACATACATACATATATACATACATAAATCTATCTATCTATTTATCTATCATCTATCTATCTATCTATCTTTAGGGGCGCCTGGGTGGCTCAGTGGGTTAAAGCCTCTGCTTTCCGCTCAGGTCACGATCTCAGGGTCCTGGGATCGAGCCCCGCATCGGGCTCTGCTTGGCAGGGAGCCTGCTCCCCTTCCTCTCTCTCTGCCTGCCTCTCTGCCTACTTGTGATCTCTGTCTGTCAAATAAATAAATAAAATCTTTAAAAAAATTAAAAAGAGAAAGAATTTCCTCTAATAAAGAATAAGGCAATAGGGGGCACCTGGGCGGCTCAGTCAGTTAAGCATCTCACCCTTGATTTTGGCTCAGGTCATGATGTTCTGAGACGAAGCCCCACGTGGGGCTCTGTGGTGGGTGTAGAGCCTGCTTAAGATTCTCTCTCTTGGGGCTCCAGGGTGGCTCAGATGGTTAAGCACCTGCCTTTGGCTCAGGTCATGATCTCTGGGTCCTGGGATGGAGCCCCTCTTCAAACCCTTCACCAGGCTCCCGGCTCAGTGAGAAGTTGGCTTCTCCCTCTTGCTTTGCCTCTCTTCCCTGCTCATGCTCTCCCTCTGTCTCAAGTGAATATTAATATTAATATTTTAAATATTAAAAAAAATTCTTCCTCTCCCTCTGCACCTCCACTCCACTTGCTATCTCTCTCTCAAAAAAAAAACAAAGGGGGACACCTGGGTGGCTCAGTTGGTTAAGCGCCTGCCTTAGGCTTGGGTCGTGATCCAGGGATCCTGGGATTGAGTCCCACATCGGGCTCCTTGCTCAGCGGGAAGCCTGCTTCTCTATCTGCCTGCTGCTCTCACTGCTTGTACTCTCTCTCTCTCTGACAAATAAATAAAGTATTAAAAAAAAAAAAAAGAATAAAGCATCAGAAGCACTCCTAACCACTTCTGGCTTGGCACTGCCTGATTCATATCAATTTTCATAAAATAAACTCTTAAAAAATAATAAAATTTTTATTTATTTTTTAAAAAGATTTTATTCATTTATTTGACAGAGATCACAAGTAGGCAGAGGCAGGCAGAGAGAGAGGAAGGGAAGCAGGCTCCCTGCCAACCAGAGAGCCCGATGCAGGGCTCGATCCCAGGACCCTGAGATCATGACCTGAGTCGAAGGCAGAGGCTTTAACCCACTGAGCCACCCAGGTACCAAAAAATAATAAATTTTTTAAAAGGAACAAAGCACTAATGCCAAAAAACAAACACATACATACACATTAACACACAAATTCTAGAGCCCTGGAAATCAAGAGATCTAAATCTAATGAGGGAAAATATTCTTAGTTCAGAAGACTGAAAGTATACAAATGATATATACCTCTTAAAAACTGCTTTTCCCCTTTCCCTCTAAAGTAGAAAAAAATAGTTTTTATAGTATTTGACTACCAATTCCATATGTATACACACTCTGAACTACCAGTGCAATCATTTAAGACCTAAAGAAACATTTTTTTGTTCTTTACAATAGGTGTTTCTGACGTCCAAAACTACCCACACTTGATTCTTCCTGTGATGCTTCACATGCTAAAACTGCATATTTCTACAGTGTGCAATAGCTAACCCTTCTTCTACCTTCTTTAGAGTTAAGCTATTAGTGAATCTGCAGATTGTCAATAACTTAAGCAGCTAACCAAAGAATTCTCTACTTTGATTTCTCAAATTAAAATATAAATTCTACTTCTATCACAATGACCGAAGTGATCACGAAATACTTACAGATTTTTAGATGCTGCTAACATGAGAACGCTGATAGGATTAGAAGGGCGCTCCTTTACGTTTTTTTTTTTTTTTTAAATAAAGAACTAAAACATGTTCACCTTTTATTTATTGTTAAGGGTTATCTCATAGGGTTCTATTCTGACCAACTTCACAGAATTTCATCTATATGTTTTCAGAACATCTTCAAGATATATTTAGCAAAGTTTAAATCCAGAATTCTGGAAATACAAGGCAGGATGGATTTCTGCTCTTAAAGATCCTTTTCCCTATATGTAAATGAATCTGAGCTAATTAATTCCCAGGAAAAAACCTGCCTCCTGCCAGCTTGATACTCCCAGGCCAGCACTAATTATTTACTATTGTTCACACTTGTTACTTAGTTTAGAAAGTTTTAACAAATACTGTTAACAAATAGTATAAAATAAATTGCCACTTAAGAGTAAAATAACAAAAGTGAACCAAAAAAAGGAAAAACATGTGATCTTCACATTTCTTATCAGTACATTCCTGAAAGGTGAACAAGACAACTAGTTCAATGGATCTAGATAAGAGAAGTCGGTAATAAAACAAAGGATTCCATTGGGGGAGAAAAAAAGACAGAGGTATTCAAACCATAAGCTGGAGTAGAACACAGTAAACAAAGTGGAAACTAAGAAGCAACAGTATAGTCAGGCATATAACTAATGAAAGGTTCAAGAAGAATAAAAATTATATAAAAACAAACAGAAGACCAAGGGCTTAGAACATAGAATTAAAGCAAAGTTGGCCCAATACTCTTGAACTTAGAATTACATCCTGCCCACACCTGTAACACAATTCAGGTGATCCAAGCATGTGGTATAGACAATCCACCAACGACACACCTTCTGCACATACCAACAGGCAGAATGATTAAAAAAAAAAAAAAAAAAAAGGAAATGCATGAAAACTACAATGATCTGGTTATGTATGGATTGATGTATTATTGATACTGCAGAAGTATGAACTAAATTTGTTATTCAACAAATAATCTTTAAAATGCCACCTAGGGGCACCTGGGTGGCTCAGTGGGTTAGGCCTCTGCCTTCGGCTCAGGTCATGATCTCAGGGTCCTGGGATGGAGTCCCGCCGCATCAGGATCTCTGCTCCGAGGAGAGCCTGCTTCCTCCTCTCTCTCTGCCTGCCTCTCTGCCTACTTGTGATTTCTCTCTCTGTGTGTCAAATAAATAAATTAAAAAAAAATTAAAAAAAATAAAATGCCATCTAAATGAACTATAAGTGAAGAAAATCAGACCATAGGCAGCCCCTACATTTCTTTAATTAAAAAGGACTCTATCCGGGGCACCTGATTGGCTCAGTTGGTTAAGCGGCTGCCTTCAGCTCAGGTCCTGATCATGGAGAGCCTGGAGTTGGGCTCCCTGCTCAGTGAAGAGTCTGCTTCTCCCTCTTCCTTTGCCCTTCCCCTACATTGTGCGTGCACACGCTCTCTCCAGCTCTCATGCTCTCTCTCAAGTAAGTAAATAAAAATCTTTAAAAATAAATAAATAAAAATCAAAGAAAATAAAATGGACTCTATCCTTAGAATACAACTGGGTGTAACATAGATGAGGGAAAAAGAAAGAGAAGTGAAAAAAGTGAGCAAGACCTTCTTTTTATGTATGCATGTATGTTTCTCTGAAGTGGTTATTCTATTTCTCCTAAGAACACACTTTCCAGTCTTTTTTCCTTATGCCCACCAGATCCACAACCTGAAAAACAAATATCCATGTCAGAGATTCTGCCAAATGTCTGCCATGGTATTATCTCCATTGCCTTTCCCCATTCAATTCCCCACTCAAATCACTGGCCATCACATGGAAGCAGCTTAATAATCCTTTAGAATTCCTTTAGAACATTCCTATGCCACTGCTATTTTTCTATCTTGTTACTAGAACTCTAATCTAATCCCTTATCTTCTAAACTCCACAGATACACAAGCTTTTAATCCCTTATCTTCTAAATTCCAAATGAACAAAACACTGCCTCATTCTTAACCCTGGGCCTAGGTTAAACTGACCAAAGTGCTACTTTAATTTGCATATTTTTAAAGTTTTCCATATCTGAAACATAATCCTTACATACTATGTTAAATCAAAATGAACATGGTGAGAACGTTTCTACTGAAGGCAAAGAATGAATTCTCATTATTATATCCAGTTGCTGTCTTGGAGTACTGTCTCCTATCATGGACTCTTTACACAGAGAGAAGGAATATTGCCACCCTCACCTTTGCAGAAGAGGGGGAAGAGCACCAGAAATCAAGCTGATAAAATAATTTTCTGTCACAGAGAACTTTTAAGCTTTTAGTAAATACACAGTTATACAAAGTTTTTTCAGTACTGAAAGGTGTAAAATTCTTAACTAACACTTGACCGTAAAGAACACCATTTTTTGCCTTGTGCTTGCCTAACCATAACACCTTAAGTAAACATCAGCTCTAATTGGTTACAATGAAAGAAATGGTTGCCCAATGCATTGTATGCAGGAACAATATCTCATAAACAATTGAATATATTACTATGTTTTTGCTCTTAAGATATATAAACAATGTCGACCTTTCTATACATTCCTTGGAATCTAATGTATGACTACTGTCAGGACACCTGTTCTAAGATTTCTTAGATGTGTTAAAGGTGTGGAAGATGGCCTGTCCCTTCAAGGACACACTTCCACTCAAGGTACCTTGTTCGCTTTCCCTCGGTCTGTATAAACGTTCTAAGTGTTCTTGGCCGTGAGTCTCTGTTCCTTCCTACCTTGACCTCCACATTCTCACCCTGTACAGTAACTCTTGTTTTGCTTCCCATTAGAGCAAAGGAAACCCCTCGGTGTTTCTTCCCGACCTAGTGCTTCGACAAAGGGCGACTTACTCTAGATGTTCAAGGTAAGGTAAGGGTCTTAAGAAGGTCAATGGCCATGGAGGTCTGAAGTTCAGGAGGGGCCGGGAACAGCAGGAAGCCTACAGCAGAGGTCCCTTTGGCCGCCAGTGGACAACTAACCAGAAGGGGCTCAATGCCTCTTTCCAGGGGGAGGTACTGGTGTACAAGGGGTGCTGGAAACGGTGGAGATGACGGGAATGATTTCTCGAGAAGCACAGCAGCAAGCGGATCACCTCACCAGGGAGGATGTGCGAAATGCCCCCGGCAGTGGCGGTTGCTCCCCGGTGCCCCATGTGCCCTGCCATGGGCGAGGACTCACCGTGCGGCTCGGGCCGGGGCCCCGTGGGCGGCGACGGCTCCTGGTGCTGCAGCGGGGAGGTGGAGGCGGAGGCCGAGGCCGAGGCTGACGTGATGAGGAGCCTCTGGAAGCGGTTGGGTGGCCGGCAGGGCACCTCCAGGCCGGCCGCCAGCTTGGCCTTGTTGGCGCTGGTGAGCCTCTTGAGGTGCACGAGCAGCTGCGGCTGGTCGCGGCGGAAGTGCGGGCTGTGGAAGTGGTGGAGCGGCCCGTCGCCCGCCGGCCCGCCGCCCCCTGGCCCCGGCCCGGGCCCCGCCGCGCCCGGCCCGCCCAGCACCACCTTGCGGAAGCCGTAGAGGTTGAGTTGGCGGATGAAGCTGGTGAAGTTGGTGGTTTTGAAGAGCTCGGGCTCGGCCCCGGCGCCCCCCACGCCGCCCCCGCCGCTGCCCCCGCCGCCGCCACCGCCCCCGGCCCCAGCCCCTGCCCCGGGCGGGCTGAGCAGCTCCGCCTCGAAGAGCGGCTGGTCGATGAGCAGCCCCTCGCCGCGGCCGTCCCAGCGGATCGAGCGGTACCGGGGACTGTTCACCAACCGCCACAGCTTGGCGGGGAAGTTGTTGGGGTTGATGGGGGTGGAGAGCAGTGCCTCCTCCATCGCCCCCGCCCGGGCACTGGGACTCGCCCCGCCGCGCCTGGCTCTCCCACCCCGTTCTCGATCTCCCCCCCACCTTCGCCCGGCCTTCGCTGAGCCCTGCCCCCCACCAGCCTGCGCCCCGCCGCCGCGGACCCTGGGACCGTTGGCTCACGAGCCCCCGCCGCGCCTTCCAGCGCGGCCAATGGGGCCTCGAGTTCCCGCCGCGCGGCGGGACGCGGCGCGAGGCGACCCGCCCGCGGGACGCCGCCGCGAAGAGCCGGGCCGCGTGCTACAGCGTGGGGCTCGGCCGCGGCAAGTCGGGTTCCCTCGGTTGCAGCGTCCCCGAACCGCTGGAATGCGGCAGAGTTGCTGCCCACCAGGTAGAGTTAAATCCTGCAAAGAGATTAAGCCCAATTATCCGGCGTGGAGTACGAAGATTCGTGTTTATCACCACAACCAGTTGGGGGGGGGTGTGGGGCGCGGATTTCGAATTCTTAAAGAGTGTGCACTTGGCAATTCAAAGTCAGCCATTCTGGAGAACAAAGGGTCTAACTCTACAATCTGAGGAGCCATAAGTATAAACTAACAGTTTGATTGCTTGTCTCTCCAAAATAAAAATGGTGATGGGGCTACAGTACCTGAGTAAACGATTCACCTTTTAGATAGTACCATTTTATGTGTTTTTTAATAGACCTTTTTACCATGATATTTTTGCTCAGGGCACGTTTAGTGAGAACTGAGGTGCCTCTGAGGAGGGAATGGGAAAACAAAAAATACAATCCTGTGTGCCTGGTCAACCAGCTGGTGCAATTTTAGCCATTAAACAGAAATAAACCTCACATGAGATGGGATAGAATTCTACAGTTTCCATAGGATAAATTCCTAGCGATCCATAAATAAGAATATAGCAGGTGCTGTGCTGATAAAAAGGAAGTCCATTTAGAAATGGAAATGGTTGGGAGGAAGTAGTATGTTTTAGTCTTTTCTTGTGGTCAAAGAATAAACGAGTATTGAGTTTTCTTGGAAATTAAAATGAATAAAAAGACCCAACAAAGCAGCACTAATATAGAGATTTTATTTAAATTGTATTGAGTTTTTACAGCACATTGCATGTTTGTCACAACGCAACTGCACAGTTTGGATTTTTGGCCACATCATGTCACTTACACCCACAAGAGCTCTGAAAGGAGTATTTGATGAATACATCTGAGCTGAGAGCCCAGAGTCTCTCTCCAAGGCCATGCAGTATGTTCACTGATGGGACAGTCCCTCAAAACAGCCACACAAAAGTAGACAGATACAGTCTCCTCAAATGTTACCAATCTTACTCCCCCTGAAAATGGGCAGAGTGAAGTGCAATGAAAGTCAAGTTAATTAAAAAGCCACTCGCAACTGGCAGTAAATTTTAATGATTGAGAAAATGCTTAGGAGAATTTTACATATCAGAGACAAGGAATAATTTGTTACTTTTTCAATGATCTCAGGAATTTCCCAGACACAAATCTCCATTATTCAACTCCATTTAAATGAAAAAAAGTTCTGCTAGGCTGACCTAAATACGCCAAAACTTTTTAGGTTACATCCATGACAAGTATAAAAGCACAGATGCTTCTCTGTAGGACTGAAGAAAAGGTCAGGACAAGTAACAATTCTTGTTCTAAATGCAGATCCTAGTTATTTTCAAATGAAAAATTTTTTTCTAGGAAGCAACATGAAAGTAGCAGTTAGACAGACAGCTACCATAGTTTTAAAACAGAATAAGCCTAAGTGTAATTTACCTTTTATACACCAATGGATTAAGGAAAATGTATAAAGGAAATACTAGTGGTTTCATTATAGGTCAAGGAGACTATATCTGTCCCAACCACAGTACATGGCTATGTCACTGTATCTTTTGGTTAAGTGCCACTGGTACATATTAAGATGAAACCAAAACAAAAAAACAGACAGACAAAAAACAAAACAAAACAAAAAAACAAACAAAAAAAATCACAAAAAAAAAAACCCACCAATGTTTGGTCCAAGTGGACGCATTTTCTCTCCCAATTTTGGTATCAAGGCTTTATTCTCTTCTGTTTGGGTTCCATTGTTAAGTGCACAGAAATAGACAGCAGCATTTGTACTGAAACCCTCACATACCAAACAGCATATTCTAGGAGGTAAAAACCAAATGCTAAATTCTACCCTCAAGGTGTCAAGTGTTCAGGATAAGAAGCAGTGTGACCCAGAGGAGGCAGCAGCCAAGGGAAAGACAACATTAGGGAAGTGGGCAATGGAACAACAACAACAACAAAAAAAAAAAAAACATTGTTTTATTTTCATGCCAGGAGAGGATCAAGGTGTAACTCCTGTGTTAGCACCAGGACAACTAGGAAAAGTCAGGTGCAAAGGGCAGGGCATAATCAGCAAATATTTGACAAGGATCATTTCTGCTTTTCCCTTCTCATTCTTCACAGTGCATACCTCAAGAGCTGCCACTGAGTAACAGAGACTACTTACTGCCTTCACAGCTCCAAATAACAGATTTTTGCCAGAACGGAACACCAGCAGAGTTTTCCTCTGCTCCCTAAAATGTCTCACTCCTTAGAACTGTTGCTCTAAAGTGAATATTCACTGATGCTGGCTGATGAGCCAAGTGAAAAGACACAGCAAAACCTCCACTTGCAGAACCAGTCTTTATACCAACTCCACAGAAAGACAGCACTACTGCAACTAGAGGGAGTGCCTCTAAAGACTGAGCCTTCATGCACAGACACAGAGCACAGAGGAACAGGATATAGTTCGTTTCAAATAGGAATTCCTATCTTATATACTAGAATCTGCTTTTTTCAAGGTGGAGAGATGAATCTGTTTATCACTTGGAGTTTGGTTATACATATGCCTTTCTATTGCTGTTTGGGGCACATCATCAGGCAGTATCTATGAAATCATCATCTTGTGACCCCCCCCCCAGGAGAAAAGTGGGAGTCACCAACTCAACATTAAGCTTCCAGACTCTGGGTCTGGATCCAGGACCATTACCCCAAGGTGAGGGTCTCACCAGTAGAAGACCTCCTGCCAAATTGGAATTCCTCTGCTCCAGTCTATGGTACCAAGGAGGATTTCTCAAGACGATAACTTTGAGCTCTGTGATTTCATGAGCCATACCAAGGAACCTTCAAAACTACACCTGAAGCAGATCCTCCCTTCAAACCTGCTAAAATTGGACAGGTCATCTCCTCTGGCATTCAGCTGGAAGCTGTAGCAATGGGTTTCTTCAGATGTTGGCTCATGAGTTCTCTGGCACGAGATACTTGGATGTGTTCGTAACATGAGTTACAGACGAGAACTGGGTCATAGAGTTGTTGATCAGGAATGGGCAACTTCAGGTGGCAGCAGCCAGCACAAAACACATTCCCACAATTTCTGCCAAAGCACAAAGAGGGAAGAGTTCATCAGAAATGCCCATATGCGGAGAATGAATGATACTCCAAAAGGCCTTACGTGAGTAAATAAAGAGAAAAGTTGGGCGAAAACAAAAAAAAAACCCTATAAAGCTGTCTCCATTTTCAGATTAACTCAACTTAGCTATACATGTATGTCGCTGCTTTATGAGCCATACAGAATCCTACAGGACATCTTACCTGCAATGGTGTCTTCGTTTGGCCAACCAGAACTCACAGTCACAGTTATAGCAATGTGATGCCATATGGTCTGGAACCCAGCGAGTCACCTAACAGAAGGCACAAGGAAAAATTCCAGGTCCTTGTCACCAAGTGGAAGAGCAACATTGCAACAAGGAAAGGATCTCAGGAGAAAACAACAAGGTCTGTCTTTATAGTTGGCCACTACCTGCCTCTAAAAAGACAATCATCTAGGAGAGAGCTCTTGTGTATAGCATGTCACTCATGCTACTCCTCATGCTAGAAATAGGAGAACTTCTATTTTGTAAGTATATACTTACACCATACTTACGTAACTATGCATTTGCCTGCACATACCTCAGTCTCTTTCTTATCAACAGGTTCCCAGCTTGCTTCTGAAAGGCAGTCCTCACTGTGATCAGAGCCAAAATCTTCTATATCACTGCCATCGGACTCCTTCAAACATGTCTGAAGAAAAGGCAAAGATATCAATCCATCTTCACCATCACTAACCTTCATTGTTTACTAGGCATCAGGGACTATTCTAAGTACATTACATGCATGTACTTCTTTCATTCCTCCCAAGAAGCTTAGATGTATATTATTATTGTCATCCCTCTTTTACAAATAAGGAAACCAAGCATTGAGAAAGTCAAGAGATAGTAAGCAGTAAACCTGGAATTTAAACCTAGTACAGTTGACCCTGGAACCACACAGGTTTGAATTGCATGGGTCCATTTCCATGCAGATATTTTTCAAGAAATACAGTATAGTACTATGTATTTTCTCTTTCTTACGATCTTCTCAGGAACATTTCCTTTTCTCCAGCTTACTTTACTATAAAAACAAAGCATACAATACGTCTAATGTACAAAATGTATGTTAGTTGACTGTATTATCAGTAATGTTTCTGGTCAGCAGGAGCTATTAGAAGTTAAGTTCTGGTAGGAGAAGAGTAAATGAAACAAGATGGGATTGGGAGGGAGACAATCCATAAGTGACTCTTAATCTCACAAAACAAACTGAGGGTTGATGGGGGGGAGGGGGGGTTGGGAGAGGGGGGGTGGGGTTATGGACATTGGGGAAGGTATGTGCTATGGTGAGTGCTGTGAAGTATGTAAACCTGGTGATTCACAAACCTGTACCCCTGGGGATAAAAATATATTATATGTTTATTAAAAAAAAAAAAAAAGAAGTTAAGTTCTGAGGACTCAAAAGTTATATGGGGATTTCTGACTACACGAGGGGTTGGCACCCTAACCCCTGCATTTGTTCAAGGGTCAACTTAACTTTGGCTTCAGACCCATGCTCTTAATCAATATGCTTTATTACGACATGAAAATATTATATTCTCATTACATTCTAAACCAGGGGCTCAGAAACTAGGCTCACAGGCCAAATCTAGCCCACTGCCTGGTTTTGTAAATCAAGTTTTATTGGAAGACAGCCACATTTATTTACGTATTGCCTGTGGCTGGTTTTGTGCTATAACAGCAGAGTTGAACAGGTAGGACAGAGACTGTATGTACCACAAAGTCTAAAATATATAATATAATATATGGCTCTTTACCAAGAAAGTTTGCTGACTCCTGTTTTAAACCATCACCCTGAATAGTAAGTTGTTAGTCCTGACCATCCCGTCCCAGCAAGCAGGCAACAGGCAAGTGGGAATGTCTTAACAGGAGGAACAGAAGTACCTGTGCTCATGACAGGATACAGTAGCCAAGAAGCTAACTCGTAGAAGCTCCCCAGAACTGTGTCCCCAAACCAGAGAGCTCCCAACACAGTGAAGCCTAGACAGTCCTAATCATCTCTCACCTGGGTTATTCCAAAACACCTTCCAGCCTCCCAACCTAGGTTTCAACTGCCTCATCCACTTGACAAACTATTGCTAGGGTAGTATTTTTAAAATACAAATCTTATCACGATAGTGGCCGAAAATTGTGCTGCCTTGAGGGTAGAATCGATCTCGAGCTGACCTTTCTAGTTGTGTCCTGTCTAGTTCTCTGTATCCCTGTCTAGTTCTCCAGTATCAGCTCCTGCCTCACTACCCAACTCCCTCCCGCATGGCCCTAGCACACCTGTACATGCATGTACATACACGCGTGTGTGCGCGTGCACGCGCGCACACACAAACACACACACCCTACCCCTTTGATTAAGCCATCCCCTTGGAGTACTTATTGCCTTCATGCTTTTGAGAATGGTATTTCCTTTTCACTGTCTACCTAGGCAAATATGACAAATTCTTCAGTACTTAGCTCAAACGTTACCTTCTCAGGATAGCCTGCACTCCATCCCAGCCCCTAACACCTAATGCTTCCTTCCATGGTAACACTTAAGACCATCATTCTAGGTGTCTCTCCCTCTAGTTTATCTCTCCCAATACACTGTGAGCCCCTTGAGATTTCAGACTATGTCCTTCATCCTACAGGCCAACCGCCTAATACACTGGCACCCAGCAAGTACCCAATGAATAAATGTTGGGAGGCTGGATGAACAGAATAAATGAATGGACAGACAGCAGTGGTGAAACTTACAAAATCATCCTCATAGTCCATGGGCGGCTCTGCTGGAGGGGCACAGCAGTGACGGATGTCCAGCCTCATCTGAAGCTCACGCACTTGTCGACGTAGCTGCTCCACCTCTTGCCTGTACCCTGCTTCGATCTGCCGTAATCTATGCTGGATCACATCCGTAGGAAAGGGGAGTCCATCATCATCCAAGTAGAGAGGAGGCACTGGAGAAGGGCAGCTCAGTGGAACAGGCTTTGTGCTGGAGACCTGCTTTGGATGACCGGACAACCACATCCGGTTATTTTTCCCTCCTGGACCAGTACAGTGTCCATTGGAATGACTAGAACAGACTGGTGACTTCACCCCTTCTCTCTGAGCCCACTGGCCCCCAAAGCAGGGCCCTGTTGCCCGCACCTGCTTGTTGCTTGACCTCTTGCTACAACAGCCATAGGAAAGCAGCCGCCGAGAGGTGGTCTCCCCACTTGGGAATGAAGTCACCATTCCTTGGAAGCTGTCCCAGTTGGATCCTAAAAAAGAAAACTCACTGGTCTGGCTCTGAGAAATTGGCTTTCGGGACAATTCCAATGGCACTTTCCCAAAGCGAGGATTTTCCAGTAACTGCCCATTCCTAATATTCCCTCTTTTGCCAGTGTATTCCTCCTTATGAATCAGATCTGGCACAGAACTGGGCTGTTCCTGGTAGGAGATGCTTGCCACAGACCCCGGGGGATCTTGGCTGAGGAAGTCAGTGCTTGGCTCTGGAGGAGTTTGGCAGGTAGCACTCAGTGGGTTGCAAAGGGTACCCAGACTGTGATCTGGAGCACATCTGGAGGGCACACCTAGCATGGAATTTATCAGGGCGCGTTGGGGGGCACCTGTAAGGGAGTCCTGGGAAGACTCAGGAAAATCACAAACTCCATGACCCTTGTTGGAAGCCACTTCAGAGAGTGCACCGAGAGCTTCTTTTTCAGGACAAGGTTCAGGTAGTTCCTCCGTGCCATCTAAAGTCCTACTCAGCTCATTGTGGGCAGGAGGGTCTAGAGCTGGTGTCGTCGTCTCTTCCAGGACTTGAATCTCAGGATCAGAGATGTTGCTCTTCATCTCCTGGGGCACTGCAGTACTAAGCAGTTTGTAACTTGGAGAACAGCTTCTATGATTCTTGAAGGGTTTATTGCTCAAGTAGTCTTTCTGGCTACTGGGCAGAGGGGAAGGAAGACCCATTTCTCCTATAGTCTGCTGAGGACCTCCTGCCCCAGATTCCACGAAGGTCTCGGATTCCTCAGGATTGCTGTGCCAGGGCTCCAGGCCTACTCTGGCCTCCTGACAGTGGTTATTAAGGTTCGGGTCACTAGATGTGCGAGTCAGGGGGCTGCTTGTGTCACAGGCAGAAAGCAGATCATCCATAGATCTGGTTTTAGGTAATCTGGAATGACAGACACAACACCTCCAGGTCAGTAAATGGAGCCACCTCCAATATATAGAATCAGACCATCAAAGCCAGAGTTCATAAGAAAGAACATTTACGATTACAAATAACCAATGTCCACTGTAACAAGTCTACTGTGCAAAAAGTGAAAGACATGAACTCTGTCCTCCAGAAGCCAGGATCTGTCCCCAGCAGTTATTAGTCCTTACCCTACACAATCTCCCTGGGCAATCTCAGCCACTTGTGATTTCAGTGCCTTTTATGTTGACGCCTTCTAAACCTACTGTGCCGGCCAGGACTATACCCGAGTCTAAAATCTAATGTCCGGCTGCCTCTACCATACGCAGTAAGACAGAAGGAAGACAATTCTAGAGCTAGATGATATTGGTTCTGACACTGATTAGCCATATGACTACAAGTGAGTTATTTAACCTTTCAGACATGTGCTTTCTTCCTCTATAAAATGATCATTATAAATTATACTTTACAGAGACACTACAAGGATTCAAACTATAGGCAGCCAACATCAAACTTACTAAGACTATACACACCACTTGTCATTTTTACTACTTTCCTTATTATAAATAATCCTTCCTCACAGCAGAAACCAAGACAGCCTTTTACAACCACTTAGCAGCACTGCATGCCTTGGAGTCCGAAGTTACCGTGGAAACTTCCCCAAGTATAAAGCACTCAAGAGTTCTAGAGGCATTTGTGCACACCAAATGGGTTACATTTTCAAGAATGTCTGATTTTTAACACATTTCAAAAGTCCTTAGAGCAATGAAAACTTCAGGGAAACTTGCCAGGAAACAATGGAGACTTAATCAGACTCCTATTTTCAGATGCCTTAGTCAGTCCAGCCCATGCAGAAAAATTCCTCAAAGGTTGAGTTAAAATATGGCTGATTTTTTAAGTGATTTTTAAACGTACTATGTTTTTTAAAGATTTTTTTTTTTTTTAAGATTTTTTATTTATTTGACAGACAGATCACAAGTAGGCAGAGAGGCAGGCAGAGAGAGAGAGGAGGAGGAGACAGGCTCTCTGCTGAGCACAGAGCCCGATGTGAGGCTCGATCCCAGGACCCCGGGATCATGACCTGAGCCGAAGGCAGAGGCTTTAACCACTGTGCCACCCAGGCGCCCGCTTTTAAAGATTCTTATGTGTGATTTTACTTTTTTTTTTTAAAGATTTAATTTATTTATTTGATACATCACAAGCAGGCAAAGAGGCAGGGAGAGAGGGGCGGGGGGAAGCAGGCTCCCCACCGAGCAGAGAACCCAATGCGGGGCTCGATCCCAGGACCCTGAGACCACGACCCAAGCCAAAGGCAGAAGCCCAAGCCACTGAGCCACCCAGGTGCCCCATGATTTTATTTTCATGATCAATTTTGATTTTGATTTTGATTTTGTTTTTTGTCTTGTGGTATACAATTCCAGGAAGGCAACAGCAATGGTTATGATTACAGTCTCTGGGGTCCCATAACCTGGGCTCAAATCCCAGCTTGGTGATTTTTTAACAATGCGACCTTAACTTCTCTAAGCCTCAGTTCCCTCATCATCTTCGGAGAAAAGTAACAGTACCCACCTCTTAAAGCTGATTAAACAATTTATTTCAAAGCACATTGCTCAGTAGTTGTCATATTGTTACACTTACTGTTTACTTATTTATCTCCTTCTCTGAAAGTGCCTTGAGGGCAGCACTGTCTTATCTGAATCCCTAGCACCAGCCAATCAATTTTGAGAGATGAATAAATGATCTTAAAATCTAACATCAAGTGTCCACTGCTAGGTACCAACTGAATGCAACAGACCAGTGGGGTTCAATATCTGGTGTACATTAGGAGCTCCTATAGATTTTTCTAGATATACAGACAACCAGGCCCGTCTAAGACCTATGAATGAGAACCAGGTATCTGTATTTTTAAAAAGTACCACAGCTAACTTTGTCTTTTTTTTCTCTTTTTTTTTATTATGGAAACTTTCAAACATACAAAAGTAGAAGAGTATGAAGACCTTCCATGTACTCTTGACCCAAATTCAACAATATCAATAGTCTCCTATCTTCCACAGCTGATTCCTACCTGGACAAAAGATTTAATCAATAATGCTGGTTAAGGGGCACCTGGATGACTCAGTCAGTTAAGCTTCCGACTCTTGGTTTTGGCTCCGGTCATGATCTTCGGTTCCTGGGATCAACGCTGTGTTGCTCTCTGCCCTCAGCACAGAGTCTGCCTGAGATTCTCTACCTCTCCCTCTGCCCCTCCCCCTGCTCACATGTGCGCAAGCACGCCCTCTCTCTCTCTCTCTCTCATAAATAAACAAATAAATAAATATTAAATACATAAAATTTTTAATGATCGTAATAATAATGTTGATAGAGACAATAATGCATGAGGAGTTTAGAACAAAGACAACTTGTCCTGCTAGGGTGATCAGGGAGGGCCACAGAGAGAGGGTAGATTTGAGCTGGATATAGCAGAATATGTTGAACTTCAGTGGAAAAGAGAACAGAACACAGGGTATTTTTGATCTAGGGAAAGGTAAAACCAAAGATAAGTCAGGTCAGGTGTTAGAGAAAGCATTTGCATTCTACTTGGTCCTCCAAATCCAACTCCATCTTGAACTGCCTATTGTATACTTTCTCTTTGCTAATATTTCAATCCCAACCTGCCTGTTTCTCCTTCTCTTGCCCAAACTGACTCTTCTCAACTTCCCGATGTCTTTGGGTTGGTGTCAATATCCACCTAGTTTCTAAGCTCAGAGACTCAGGACCGGTCTTTGATAGGTCCCCTCTATTCTTTACTTCTACTTTCCCATATTCAGTCACTCCATAGTCTGCTAATGACTTCTCTACAAGTCTCTGATTTTAATCCTTTCTCTTTCCAAACTCTCCTCTTCATATCTGAATTACAATAGTGTTGGCTGATCTCTGTGCTTCCAACTACCCACCTCACTGACTCATTCTCCAAAAATCCCGTTGTCACCAGTTCACAGTGACTTCCTACAATGACTTAACTATTGACAACTGAATCTAAATAAAGTCCTCAGGATAATGTTTAAGCCCTCAATGAACTATCCTGTGTTTCTTTCTGGTCCTCAAAATGGCTCCTTCTTAATCCCCACCAACTCTAGATAGGTTCTTCTTTTGTTCATTAAGCTATCTTTCATGAATGTAATTCCTTTGGACCCCTCCCCACTACCTTGTTACCAAGCTCACAACTCCCTTTATTCCATTCATTTGTTTGTTCATTTAAACACTTACTAAAGCACCTATTATGTGCCAGGCTGAGCCAGATGCTAGAGACACAAAAGAGCCAAGGCTCCTGCCTGGTCTTCCATGAAAACTTCTCTAAGTAAATAGTCACCAAATGACCCCTTTCTAACTTCTCATTTCTCCCAACAGCTTTGAACTACACACATTCTTTTTTTTTTTTTTTAAAGATTTTTATTTATTTATTTATTTGACAGAGAGAAATCACAAGTAGGCAGAGAGGCAGGCAGAGAGGCAGGCAGAGAGAGAGGAGGAAGCAGGCTCCCTGCTGAGCAGAAAGCCCGATGTGGGGCTTGAACCCAGAACCTGGGATCATGACCTGAGCCGAAGGCAGTGGCTCAACCCACTGAGCCACCCAGGCGCCCCTGAACTACACACATTCTTATTTGCTTAGATGCTAACTTAGAACTGATCTCTATTTGTCCTATGTCTGTCTTATTATAGGTTTTACAAAGTATCTTAAATAGGATCAATATCTTCTATTTCATTTATACAGGCCACAAACCTGTACGGTACTAGAGAGCTAGTGGGTATTAAAGAAACATTTACTGAATTGAAAAATTAAATATTAGGGGCACTTGGGTAGCTCCGTCAGTTAAGCATCTGACTTCAGCTTGGGTCATGATCTTGGGGTCCTGGGATCAACACCCACCACCCCACACACACTGGACTCCCTGCTCAGCAGGGAGTCTACTCCTCCCTCTCCCTCTGCCCCTCCCCCTGCTCATGGTTGCTCTCTCCCTCTCAAATAAAAAATATCTTTATTTTTTAAATTTTTGTAAGGATTTTATTTATTTGAGAGAGAGAGAGCACAAGCAGGGGGAGAGGCAGAGGGAAAGGAGAAGCAGGCTCTCCACTGAGCAGGGAGTCCAACGCATGTCTCGATTCCAGGACCCTGGGATTGTGACCTGCTCCGAAGGCAGAAGCTTAACTGTCTAAGCCAGCCAAGCATTCTAATAAATAAAATAAGAAAGAATGAAAGGAAGGGAGGAAGGAAGAAAGAAAGAAAGGAAGAGAAAAGAAAGATTAGGTATTAATTTAAGGCAGTGATTATTAAATGAGTGATAGAACTTACCCAGAATTTCATAAGTTCTGGGTCCTCTCCCTGGAAAAATAAACTTATGAACCTATACCCAAACTCTGCATAGTTTGGGGAAGGAAGAAAATCACAGAATTCCTGAAACCTATCCATGGGCCCTGACCACGGACTCAAGACGCTAAAACCAATAATTTAGGGGGGGAGTGGGCCTTTTTGTTTCCCTTTATAATATTCAACCACTATCTTAAGTTATACTTTAAGAATCCTCCATCAATAAAGATCAAAATTTGAAATGTACATATCCTTTGAACCCAACATTTTCATTTCTAGGAATTTATCTGGCAAAAATATTAGCACAAATGCAAAGATAACACATATAAAGTAATACTACTGAAATGTACACTTAAAAATGGTTCAGATGGTAAATATTATGTGTATTTTACCCACAACTATTTTCAAAAACATACACATAGTTAAGAATGTTAAAGCAGTCCCAAAAAACAATAAAAAAAAAAAACCCAGAAATCACCTAAATGGCCAATAGTAAACTGGTTATATAAGTTATGCTACACTCTAATTTTAGACTGTTATATGCGTCGCTAAAGCAATAAAACAGCTTTATATGTGTTTTAGAGGGGTGACAGCCTAACACAACATGGGAAAAACAATCTGCAGAACAGTATGAAAAGTATGATTCTGTTTTTCAGCATCTTAAAATGTTTCTTTTTTTTAAAGATTTATTTATTTGAGAGAGAGAGAGCATGTACACACATGGGAGGAAGGGGCAGAGGAAGAGGGAGAGAGAGAATCTCAAGCAGGCTCCCTGCTGAACACAGAGCCCAACATGGGGCTAGATCCCATGACCTTGAAATCATGACCTGGACAGATATCCAAGAGTCAGAAGCTTAACAAACTAGCCACCCAGGTGCCCCAAAAATGTTTCTACATGACAGTGTGACAGTGTGGCTGTATCTATGTAGAAATAAACATATGGAAGCACAGGCACCGGAGTGTTAGCAGTGGACGCCTGTGGGGACAAGTGTCTGAGAAGGAGACTTTCATTTTCTACATTTACACTGTTTGATTTTTTTAAAAAAGATTTTATTTATTTATTTGACAGAGAGTTACAGTTGCCTACACAAGTAGGCAAAGCGGCAGGCAGAGGGAGAGGGAGAAGCAGGCTCTCCACTGAGCAGGGAGCCCAATGCGGAGCTCAATCCCAGAACCAGATCATGACCTGAACCAAAGGCAGCTGCTTAACCGACTGAGCCACCCAGGCGCCCCTCGCCTTTTTTTTAAATAGGAACATGCATTACTCTTATAATGTAACCAACAACCATTCTATTTCCCCCACGTATTTAGCCAGAAGATAACTTTAATTTTTATGTCTGCCTTTAAATTCTGGCCTTTTTCTGAGGGAGAATGGGAAGACCATCCCTCTTCTGGGAACCCACCTCCCTGAGAATCAGATGCTTCCAGAAGCTATTGCTGCACATAGCAAAGGTCACACTACTACTAAGATAGCAAGTACCTCAATGTCTTCTGTAGTGAACATAAATCAAGACCATTCCCACAAACCTTCCTGAAATAGTCCTTTCTTCTCTGTTCTCCTCTCCCCTGCTTAACCATGTCACATAGGGTGATAGCTCCAGGAAAGAAGGTAACCAATTTTATCTTAAGAGAGGACCTTGAAAACATCCAGAGTGCCCTCCCGGCTAGCTATAAGTCTTGGGCCAAGTCTCTCCTTCAACTGAGACAAGAAGTTGCTTTTAAATATCTTATAAAAAAAAAAAAAAAAGGAGAACATGAGGTGAGGCACAAAGCAATCATTGCCTTTCTAGTGGAGAGAGGAGAGAGCAAGAAAGACTCTTGTTACCTGTCCAGAGAGCGGCCAGAGAACTCCTGGCTCTGAGCTGCTGGAGAAAGGTAGAGATCCATGGTCTCCTCCCCGAGTGTACATGGAGACGATGCTGGCAAATAAACAGCTGTCCAGAGGTGCAGGGCCCGGACATGACATACAGGATGCAGGACCTAGGGAAGCAGCCCCATGCCAGTGTTTTGTGAGCCAGTCCAGGTCCCTCTTCTTTCTCTCAGCCCTCATTCTCCCCACTGCTCAGGCTGTTCTCCCTGGAGCTCTCCAAGCAGGGGCCACAGAACAAGGGTTGGGACTTACCATGTCAGAACCAGGTGTGTAGAGGAAGTTGTGAAAGTTCTTATTGCCAGCCCGCAGGAGAGCCCACACAGAGCAGGTCCGCTTGTAGATGTTGCGCTTCTCTCGCTCGCAGGGGTTGTTGGCCAGGAACGTGCCGTAGAGGCAGGAGTACGTGTGCTGCACCAGTTTGACCTAGAAGGCCGCACTAGCTCACCCCTGGGAGCCTCGGCCACTTCTCCCCTGCCCCCGCCCCGGGTCACAGGCTTTACCAGTAGCGGAGGACTTACCAGGAATGCTTCATTAAACTCAAACAGGCAGGGGAACTGCTTGAGCAGCTGATGAACAGAATCAAGCCACTGGAGGAACACCGGGCACTGCTCATTTTGGTCCTCTGCATTCTCCTGGTGGCCGCAGCGGTCTCCAAACTTGTGTCCAAAATCTAGCCAGTCAGACTCTACTAAAACTTGGAAGCCCTGCAGAAAAGAGAGGCCAAGCATAAGGCCTTTCTGGAAAGGCTAGTGTGCTACTCCCCAGGGGATGCCAAAGGCAGGGAGCTGACAGCTACAGGGAAGAGCAGAACTGATCCTAGGAGAGGACTCAAAGCCACCAATGTCCTCTACTAAAAGATCCCCAAGACAGATCCAGAGGGCCCAACACCTTCCCCACCCGCCTTTCCCTCTAGTCTTCCCTGCCCAAGCCCACCCAGTACCTCCAGTGTCCTGTAATATGGGTCCAGCAGTATCTTGGCCAGGGCTACGATCTGTGGCGTCCGGTCCCAGCCATCGGAGCAGTGCACCAGCACAGGCCGGCCCTCCCGATCCACGGTATTAGCCACGAGCACGGCCGCCTTGAGCATCACTGACAAGTGCTGCAGCCATTTCGTGCTCTCCAGGGCTGACAACCAGCTACAGGAGAGCAGAAATCAAGCCTGTCACCAAGGGCACTGAGGCTCCAACGGTCTCTCCGCCACCCATGCCAGCCACACTGAATGAAGTCCCCAGGGAGGGCTGAAGCCAAGAGGTCCAGTGTGGGGCCCTTCTGCCAGGAGCTCCCTGGCAGGGAGGTAAAGAAGAAAAGACCCAAGGTACACAAGGGACTGAGCACCGAGGGAGGAGCGGGAAGCATCACATTTAGCCATTCTTTCCCCAGTTCTCTGTGTTCTTTAAGTAAGACTTCGGATCCAAACCAAAGGAACCCGGTGTGCTGTGGCCGTTCCAGTGCTGGCCAATGAGCAAAAGATGTGCTCTTGGAACCGGCCCACTGCACCAGGCCCTCAGGTTTCCCATACCTCCACACCTCCCATTAGCCCAGCTCATCTTCTAAGAACCAGAAGAACTGGATGAAGGACAAGACAAGGGGGGACAGAACAGGGGCAGGCAGGGACCACCTACTTGCTGGGGTCGGGCATCTGGCTACACACAGCCCGGAGATACTGGAAGCTGTTCCGGATGGCGTGAATGTTGGCCATCCCCATGAACACGACCTCACAGTTGGGGTAGTACTCTGTAGACATACAGACGAGGGTGGAGCCTAAGAGCGCGTCCCAGAAACAGCCATCCAGGACGAGAGTGGTCCCCATGGACCAGGCTTCCCCGGGCTGGGGGACCACTCAGCTCCAGATGCTCAGGTGCCACATGCTGACAGCAGTAACGAGGACATTACCAACGAGTGATAGTCACGGTACTACTTGTAATGACAACACACAGTAAATTCTCAATATACAGTAGCTGTTCTATGCTGATAATTTTTATGATCATCCCTAATTTACAGATAAGATAATAAAATTGAGACCGATGAAGTGAATGAGTCACTGCTAGATAAGAGGCAGAGTCCCGATTCTAAGCCAAGTTTGTCTGGCTCTTTCCACTGTACAACCTGCCCCCAGGCCCCTCCTCATCGAGGCCACCCAGAACGCAGACCGACTACAGACAGGGTGCGCGGGGAACGTGGCGGGGGTTGTAAGAGCCATACCTTCGCACTCACAGCCTCCACCCTTGGCCCGGTTGGCCACTGCCGCCGTGTAGGAGCGAGCGTCCAGGATCAGTAGCTTCTGGGGGGCTGCGGTGCTCTCTACTCCAGAGCATGCGGTCAAGGAGGAATCTAAACACACAGCAGGGAGAAGACCCTGGGTCAGCCAGCCCAGCATCACCCTACCCTGGCACACACTTTCAGCAGAGAAGAACAGACAACTGGATACTCCGGTCCTCCTACAGCTGCCCAATCCTACAGCTGCCCAAAGGGCAGAGACCCTGGCACCCTGTGTGTTGTCATCTTCTTCCCATCCTCTCACGAGGTGGGGGTTAGGGAGGGGCTCCCCAAAAGCCAGTAAGGCCAAGGTGGGGGCTCTCCAGGGGGTCAGCACCGCCCACAACACCTTACCGAAGTCAGTGTCACATGCCTCGCTGGCATCACTATTCCCAGTGCTGAGGGAGCCCCCAGTGGCTCTTGTCCCCGGGTCCAGGGCACAGGCTTTAGCGATGGATGTGACCAGGTACTCATCGTCTGCATTGCGCCAGCCCCACCAGCTGATCTCTGGCTGGCTGCAGCGGGCGATGGCAGCCCCGTTGCGGAGGTGTCTGACGAAAGGGAAGAAACCATCATTCCTTTGCCATCTGCAGCGCCCACCGACCCCCCCGCCCCGGGCCTACTGCCAAGGCCTTAGGGGGCCAGACCAAGATCTCCAGAGCCAACAGGGGCTACCCATTCACCCAGGCCACACTAACAACCAAAAGCCCTTGACATATCCAGAGGGCTCTACAGTTTACAAAGCACTGTCACACACATTTCTCGGATGCTCTCTGTGTTCCCAAGGTGACCTTGACTTCTTGACTCTGCACAGCACCTGCTCCAGGTACCGACATCCAGCAGGAGAACAAGCCTGAGCCCAGAGCAGAACAACTCCAAACCTCACAGCTACTATCTGTCTCACTCTATTTTCGCTACAGTGTTCTAGTGCAGGGGATCCACAAGCATTTTCAGTAAAGAAACAATAAATGTTCAGCTTCACATGTCATAGCCTGTCTCTGTCACGCATTCTTTCTTTTTGGTTTGTTTAAAAAAAAATAGCAGCAACCCTTTAAAAATGTAAAAACCATTCATAGCACTGGGCTGTGCATGAAACAGGCCGCAGGCTGGATTTGGTTCACTGGGCCATAGTTGGCCAACCCCGGTTCTAATGCGACAATTTACACACACAACATTGTACACACATTAATGCAACATTTTATAAACACACACACACACCCTCCCCAAAAAGTAAAGTGAATGTATTCTCCAAAAGCCTCATCTTTAGAAGAAAAAAGCCGAGGTAGTTTTTGATTGGAAACTATTTCATTTCCTTCAGGGTATCAATTCCTACTCAACCAGGCAAAATCTCCACTTTTGACTCTTTCTTGCATAAAAAATGTCCTCCCTACTTCCTGTCCCCTGCTGCCTCACCTATACACAACCACCGGGATCCGCTTCCAGGAGCGGAAGGAAGCCACATTCTCCAGCTCTTTGTCTGTGATCCATACAGGAACCAGGAGCTTCTGCGGGTAACTGGGGCACAATCTGTGAAGAGACCAGATGGGGTCACCAAGCGCAATCTAAGGCCTATGATAACAAGATCCCCAGGGATGGCTTTGTGGGAAGAGAGAGAAGGAGTCCTCCTCTCTCACAGAACCAGGGACTCGGCCCAGCCAGATCTGAGTCTGGATTGGTATTTTGGTTCTCCTCCCCCTGCCCTCTCACTTGTAGTTGCTGTTGATGTGGGAGACTCTCCAGACATTCTGCAGATCAAAGCCCATCCTCGTGAGCTCAGCCTCCTGCCGACATCGTATGTGCTCTCCTGCAACACAGCCCCCATGCCTGCCTGTCAGCATCCAAGTGCACCACGTCCGTGGGTGGAGGAGGGTTAAGAATCAAGAGATATGAAGCCTCCCAAATAAAACAGCCTGGCCTTACCTGGCTGACACAGGTGGGTATGCTGGTCCTCCTCAGTCAGCCCCAGGCACCAGGCATGGTAGGCGAAGGCAAAGAGGTCTTCAGGCTTGGCAGGTCGCGCCGTGGCCCGGCTTAGCCGTGACAACCACTCTTGGCACTGCTTGAAAGTGGAGAAGTGGCACCTGCCAAGGCAAGAAGCCACAGAGTGAGGCAAGGGGCAGGTTTGCCTTGGGGCCATAAGGGTCAAAAACAAGAAGGCTGTGGGGAGGGGAGGATTTAAAGCAGGAGGTAAGGCACAGGGGCCCGAGGGAGGACCAGGGACACTGGCCTACACCCAGGAGAATTTACCTTTTTGACAACTGTCTTCCAAGAACTCTAGTCCTTGGGACATACTTATCCCTTCAAATGGGGCCCTACCATTTCTTACATCAAATCCAAACTCTACCACATGTCCCTGAATGTCCTGGTACTCCATGTTCTCTCATGACTCCTGCTGCAGGCAGGAAGTCCTGTTCACACCATTCCTGTCTCCTTGTTTCTTCACTTCCGCTTGATAATGCCTCCTCTCAGCCAAGCCACATCCTACTGACATTTTGAAGACAGTCCTGTCCCCCCTCTTCCTTGAAGCCTTCCAAGCCCACTCCATTTTACAGACCCGTTCTTCTCTTAGTCTTAATATGCTTGAGAGTTTTGAACAGTAAGTTTTCCCATAGCATACTGCTACTGTTAAGTCTTCCTTTGGCAACTAGACCTCAACCTCCTGGAAGAGAAGGCCAGTGTGGGTTCTCCTTCTGAATCCCTACAGTCCTGAGCACATACAGGACAGACTCTAAAGTGGGCACTCTTTTTTTTTTCTGGACACTCTTTTAATGATCCTTGGAGTCATTCCAGACTCCTCTTTCTCTCATATCCAATCTGTCAGCAAATCTTGTCTTCTCTCCCCTTAAAAATCTGAATGCTTCCTGCCATTTTGGCCACTACCACCCTAGCCAGGTCCCCACGCTCTCTTGCTTGGCTAACTACAATAGCTTCTTAACTAGTCCCCTCAGCTTCTGCCCTTGCCTTTGTGTCTGACCCCCTTCCATCTCTTCTCAACAGAGCAGCCAGAGTGATTCTACAGAACATTAATCAGATCATATCTCTCCTTTACTCAAAACCCTGCAGTGGTTTCTCATTTCCCTCAAAGTAAAGGCCAGTCATTATGACACTCTGACACACACCTTACCTCTCAGATCTTATATCCCACTACTCTCACCCACGTGCTCTCCACTCCAGCTACACGAGCCTTCTTGCTATTCTTCCAATACGCCAAGTGAAATACCCACCTCAGGGCCTTTGCATGCACTGTTCTGTCTGCCATCCTCTTCACTCAAATATCTACATGGTCATTTTTTTCAGGTCTTGAATCAAATGTCATCTTTTCAATGCAACCTTCTCTGATCCTATTGTTTAGAGCTACAACTCTACCCCCACAGCACTCCGTATTCCCTTTCCCCGCTTTACTTTTCACCTTTACGTTTACTATCATTTAACATATTTTACTCATTATTTACTGCTGGTAGCTACCCATTGGAATATAAGCCCCACGAAGGCAGGAAATTCTTTTTACTAGTACTCTGCTATATTCCCAGTGCCTATAACAGTCTGCCATAGAGTAGAGGGGTCAATAAATGTATGTTAAGTGAATTAATAAATCAACCCACAATGCCAACCCTAGGTGCCTTCACCTTCACTACCCTGTTTAATCCCTATGGCAACTCCATGAGCTATACGTTATCCCCATTTTTTCAGATCAAGATACTGTGGGTCAGGAAGTTGACCTCCTAAGCAAGAGAGGGTTTCTACCTTTTCTTGGGAAAGTGAGACAGTATTTTTCCTTCTTGCTCCAGAGAAACCCTGCATTAGAGAGGTCTGGGCAGGACCAGGGCCACAGGGCCTGAGTGTAGCCCCACTGTTCTCACCTCACCACCTTGGAGTCCTTGCAGGCAATGTGCAGCTGGAACATATCACGGCTCTCCACAGTGTCAATCATCCGGAGGGGGACCTTTAGAGGAAGGGCAAACTAAAGCTCAGCTCCTGTCACTCCTTGTGCCCATCCCAGCCTAGATGCCGATGTAGCCACACAAGGAAGGAAGCTGACACTAACTGAAGGCCAGCTGAGTGCCTGGTAACTGTGCAGGGTCCTCTACCTATGTGACCTTAAAGAATAATCACAAGAACCCCACAAGGCAGATATTTTCAGGCCAAATTATTCGGGGGGAAATTAAGCCTTGGGTGATTTAAACAAGGTCACACAGTTGTAAGTGGCACTCTTCCCAACAATGCCACTGTGCCCCCTTAGAAGGGTCAGCAACAGAGTAAAGGAAAGAGAGAAGAGGGGAGGGAAGAAGAAGGGAGAGGCAGAAAGACAGACCCATAGCAGGAAAGCAAAAAGTTAGCAAGAAAAAGAAGGGAACCCCAACTTCATCTGGAGACAGGATCAAGACCAGCACTGGAGCAATCTCACCTTGAACCAGGCAGGGATTCTGCGTTGGGTGTGGGAGAACAAGACAGAAACTCACGTTGATGACAGAATCTTTGAACTTGATATGCAGCCGGTAGTTGGAGATGGCAATGAGGGCATCAGCTGCCCGGCCCAGGAACTCCACTCCCTCACCCTGCAGCACTGTAAAGGGCACCTGTCGAGGGGCAGAGGAACCCTCAGTCCAGGAAGAGGAGAGTTCCAGAGGAACCCTCAGTCCACCCCTCTGTTCCCCTCCCCAACCCTGACCCATGGGATCCCCTCTGGAAAAGCTGGGCCAAGGCAAAACAGAAGAATCCTCTCCACAGTAACAGCACCAGGCAACAGCTGCACAGGAAAGCTGCCTTTCCTTCCCTGGGGCCAAAGGCTCCACAACGCAAGTACAGACAGATTCCCCTCCCTCAAGAGACCCGGAAACAGGAAGCCAAAGCCCCAGTACTGGATCCCTTTGGAGATGTTGTTTAGGAGGAGGGAAGGAAAGGTGTTTTTAATTTGGCAGAGAGCTCCACCCACCCTGGGCCCCCACCTCCTCCTTACCTGCAGATTCTCCTCCTCTTTCACTAGTTCCTTGGGGGGAAACAGATCCTTGGCTTGGATGTACTCCAGGCTGGGGGGCCCCTCCTCACCCTGTAGGGAAGGCCTCAGCCCTAAGTCACCAGGCTCCACTCGGCCCATCAGACCTCATTCTGCTCCCCTCCCCTCAATAAACCTGCATACACCCCGTACACCCTGATAAAGGTTTGGTCACTAGACGACGGAAAAGAGGACTGGCTTGGTGGGAGGGGTGATGTGGAGGGGATACTCAAGCCCATTCAGCCTAAGGGAAGAGTAAGCTCCAAAGAGGAACTGGGAGTCTGCACTCCTGGAAGAGCAGCAGAACCAAATAGAACCAAAATTTCCCAAATGGAGGAAGAGAGAAAACTAAGAAAAAGACAGGCAACAATGTGAGGGAAAGACAGAAGTGGGAATGGGGAGTGCCGCCCTGAAAAAAAGGAAGCAGGTGTGGCAGCTGGTTATGGAGACAGGAGGGAAAGCAGGCACCTAAGGCCACAGACTCTTCACTCTGGTAGGTGAAGGAGACAAAGAGGAGCAGGTTGGGGGATTCAGTCCCATGCCTCTAGAGGGCCTTCATGGATGTTTTCAAAAGAAGGATGTGTTTTGGAGCTGAGCTTATCTTCCAGTTAGGCCCTCAGTGCTGAAGAGCCCCCACCACCTACCAAGCAACCTGCCCTGCCTGCCGATCAGAGGGGAATTCCTACGGAATACCCACAGCAAGCAGAAGTAACTCCTCTCCCAACCAGCAGGGAGGGGTGAAGAGGGGATTTCTTCACCCGTTTCTCCCACAGGTCTGGGAGAAACCAGGAGACCCAAGGAAGGCCAGGGGGGGAGAGAGAGAGAGAGAGAGAGAGAGAGAGAGAGGGAGGGGGCCGGGCAGCCACCCACGGGGGGGGGGGGGGTAAGGAGGGGAGGGGTGGGAACATCTGAGAGGACAGATGGGGGAAGCTGGGAAGGAGCATTAAGCCGGAGTGGGGGAGGAGGGGAGGACTGGGAATGATGCAGAGGTAGGAGCCCTGCAGAGGCAGGGAAGATGGAGAAGAGAGGCTGTCTGGGGGACAGTCAAGGAGAAAAGACTGGCGTGTCAGGTGAGGTATGTTGTGGTGGAAGGGGGAGGGGACCGGAGCCAGGCAAACAGCTCAGATATCCTGTGCTCCCCGACGGGCCCCCTAACATCCCAGATCAGTCACATCCCACATCCCCAAGCAAGGATGCTGCGGGTGGGACCAAGATGGAGAGGCGGAGGTAAAGGGATGTACCCCTGCAGGGCGGGGCCTGAAGATCTGCAGTCAAGGGCAGTGGCTGCGGGGCCAAGATGGGTCACAGAATTTACACATACACACACACGCTTTCCATAATCCCCGGTCCCCGAAGATGAAAGCAAGTCCAAGAAAGAAAAGGAACCCCCCACCCTCCACTGCCAGGGGCCACGGAAAGCGGGATGAGCCAAAATTCGGAATCGCAAGGGCTGGCGCTGGGCGGGGCTGCGGGTGCAGCAAGCACTGGGACCCCGGGGCCCCCGCAGACCAGGCCAACACTTACGAAGCAGCTGAGCATGGAGCAGGAGACGCGGGCGGTCAGGCTCATGGTCGCGGGCGGTCTGGACCAGCACACATGTCCCCGGAGCCGCTGCGCTGCCCGCCAGTGCCGGACGCCCGCCGCATCACGGCTGCGGGGCCCGCCAGGTGCAGCCGCGGCGACCAGGAGGCGAGCGCGCTGGCGGTGGGGCCTCCGCGCGGCTCCCGCGCGCCTCTCCCCTCCTCTCCACAATGGAGCTAGCCCGGCTCCGCCCTCCGGCACGAGCGCGGAAGGGAGGGGAGCCAGACGAGGGGAGCGCCCCGGGCCGCGCGAGGAGGGGGGGTGGGGGCGGATCCTCGAGGCTCCGCCCACGGCTCCAGACTCCTCCCTCCTCGCGGTCCCCTCCGGCCGCATGCGAGGGCGTCCTCAGGGGACGTCTGGGGGCTTTCGCAGTCTGGCCGGAGGGACTGCCCCCAGACCGCGTCAGAGGGTAAGGCAAGCCCTCCTACATCCTTTCACTTCCCATATTCTCAGTGAACCAGCCCACACCCCTCTTTTCACACTCTGTCCCCATGTCCTCCCCACTCTGAGTTCCCCCAGTGTCTGTCCTGAATTTCCAAGATAAGGCTCACCTACAGTTTCAAGGCCTCCTCCTTTTCCTACAAAACCACCACCCACCACACCCCTGTCCACCAGTGTCCTCCAATCCCATGACATCACTAAATCCCACTCCCTTTTTTGCCCTTCCAAACAGACACTGGTCTATGCCAGGTTGGCCACTCCACACTCCTGAAAGGGAAGTTCTTTAAGTGTTTTAGTCCATGGCCCCTGCCCAACCCTACCCTTCATCTCCATCTCTCCCTGTTTCACATCCTCTGACATCTAGATAAGAAAGTCCTTCTTGGAGAAGAATTTTGGGAGGCTGGGAAAGAGAAGACTGGAACTACGGACCACAAAAGCTATGCAAAACAAAACCTGAAACCCAAGAGTAGGGTATGGAGGGAGTTGGGTAGAGGGCGAAGGAATAAGGAGGAGTCAGGCTCAAAGTGTCATCAAAAGTCTCGGAAGGAGCTGGTTGGGACCCCACACTTCCTGTGCCTGGTAACTTTCAGGAACTGGGGCTTTGGTTTTGCTCTGGGGGGGAAGGGGGAATAGGAGAAAACTTGACATTGTATTAAGCATCTGCTATGAGCCAGGCAGGCTGCAAACATTACCTCACTAGAACCTGTCAACTCTCCAAGAATTAACTGTTTTGCTGGTGAGAGGTCAGGCTTAGAAAGAAAATATGCGAGTTACCTAAACTATTCAAGCAGTGGTGCTAGGATTCAAAAATAGACTACGCTCACTCTAAAGCCCATGGTCTTTTCAGAGAGTCACAGAAGAAAAGAGGAAGGGGGCTACCAGTTGGTGGGAACCAAGACCACCAGGCTTTCTAGGGAAGAGACGAAAACCACATACCCCCATGCCTGTGGAGGAAAGGAGTGAGACCTCTCATCAACTGAATTCCTTAACCTGCACAGGGGACACTCAAAGAAGCTGAAAAGATACAGCCAGAGCAAGGGCCCGTATGGGCCTGGGCCTGCAACTCTCTGTTCTCTTTTCATCTCACGTTTCCTCCTCCTAGTTCTCAGGGGTTAGCTAAGGGGTTCCCTGAATGTGAGGTGAGAGAAGGGCATTTACAGTTAATGGAAGGTATAAGGATCATTTTCACCCCCAGCCTCAACCCCTGTGCAGCCCGGTGCTTCTCTGGGCCCCTGGAGGGTGCTATCCCGCTATATATCCAGTCAGCTACTGAGTGTAGTAGCTTAAAAGACAGCAGCATCTTAGAGCTGGAGAAACCCCACTGTTTTGATGGAGTCACTCCCAATACAGCACCCACAATATTCAAGGGGCTCACTAGGAAGTGCAAGGATCTTGAGATAAAGGAGGCCTGGCTTTTCAGACCAGAAGAGAGAGCTTCCACCAGGCACCCAAGAAAAGTAAGAGAAGGGCCATTATGAAAGGCTATGAGAGCCAGTGGTAGTATTGGGAAGGTATAGCATACATAGCATGTGCAGGAAAAGACTTCTAGAGGCTCCCTGTCCCAGTGCTGTATATTGGCTGGTGTTTTGCAACCTAAAGAAACCCTAATTTATTTCCAGGAGAGATGAACCTGTTTAGAGGCTGAACAGAGTAGCACAGAGCTCAAGGTCCAGGAGGGGCAGGACAGCTTCACAAAAAAAGACAGAAGGATTACAGAAAATAAAATAGTCTGAGGAAAGAGAGAGAATACTCACCATTCTACTGTGGTGAGGGTCCTGGCTGCCTGCTTCTTACTGTAAAAAGACAGAAACATAAGATTAAAGAGCACCATTAACATTACCTTAGAATCAGCGAATGCCACACATCTACTCCTAACCTCTTCAGCGAATTTCAGAGAACTGGCCTCTCCCCGTGTCCCCTTGCCAGACAGAGGCAATATGAGCTATGTGGGGAGAAAGCAACAAGTGATTCTGCAGGGCATGGAGTCGGCCCCAAAGTTCTGGCGCAGGAATGAGTGTCATCCAAGATTATTCAGCAGAACTCAAGAGTCCTGATTCCCAGACCAGAAGGAGAAGAACATTCCAAACACTGTTCCTTTTGGGAAAGCAAAAGAACTGCCAACTCTTAAAAGAGAGGCTGCCCAACCTGGACTTACTTCTGGCCCTGGAGGGACATGAAGCCACAAGAACGCTCTGCCAGCCTCCAAGTCTGGAAGTAGCACACACCTGACCTGTTTACTGGGGGCAGAGTCCAGAGCGAAGGACAAGAGGGAGGGGACCACAACCTGTGAGCTGAATGCCTTCTGGCAGCAGGACTGAATACGTCCTGATTAAAGTATTTGACACCAAGTGGGATGCTGGTTTATGGGAGGAGGCCACACAACAGAGACAGAATCAGGCCAGCCTAAGGCCTCAGAGTCAGTACCTGTCAAAGGGGCCCAAGTAACAGAAATTCAGGACGGGCCTCCTTGGCCCACTTAGGGAAGCAGGCCCAGGTTTTCCTGACACTTTCGCTCATGCCTGCTATCCGAGCTCAGAAGTCCAGCAGTTCCCTGCGGAAGGCTGCGGGGATAAAAGCCTCCATCTGTGGTCCTGCCCGCTTCCCTGATCACAGCCCACCCTTCCTCATGGGGGAGCCAGCAAGAGGCAAGCCAGAGGTGCTGCCTCACCGCCCACTGGCACGCAGCCTCAGGGAAACGGAGGGAGGGAAAGAGGGACAAGGACCAGGCCTGGGATGCCCAGGGCTCCCGGACCAAGGGGATCTGGCCCCGGGGTGGGGGCGGGCCAGGCTGGCAGGAGAGCCCAGGTGTCCAGGTTCTAGAGGCGGAGCCTAAAGATTCGGAGGCGGGGCCCCGAATGACAGAGGGCGGGGCCCATGAAAGCCGGAGGGGCAGGGGCGGGGCGAGGCAAGACGCGGTCGTTGCGGTTCCCAGACTGGCAGTGCACGGGGCACGGTGACTCACCCAGGCGGCGTCCGCCCGACCCTCCGAGGCCGCGCTCTCACCACTTCCGTCTCCCCCAGCTGCCGAGGCCGCGCAGCTTCGACCCCACCACGGGGCCTCTTCCCCCAACCAATCGTATCTCCGGTCTGTGCCCGCCCTGGCCAATAGCCACACCAAGTCCCGCCCTGCCCCCACCACGCAGCCGCCGCCCTCACTCTTCACTCTGCTCATTGGTTAAGTGGGGCAGACGCCCTCCCAGCCTTTAGCCTATCGGGTGCCGGAACACAAGACAGTACCTGGAGAGAGGAGGCACGGCCCCGGAGAGGAGGCTCGACCAATGGGAAATCACAGCGCGTCCCTGCGGCAGCCAATGACAGAGTAGTAAAAGGGGGGCTGCTGGAAGAGGCTCCAGGGGCCGGAAGTGGGGGTGGCTGTCGCCTACTGGTAGCGCAATTGGAGGCGGGCCCTTGTAAGGGCACAGGCCTTACAGCCACTTCCGGCGACGACCACGCCTTGGGTGTAGTTCTCAAATAGATCCCCGGTGTCACCGCAGTTTATCCGTTTCCAGTTTTGGTTTCGCTGCGGTCATCATCTCGTCCCAAACCCGGAAAGAGAGAAAAGACCCCGCAGGCTAAGAGAGGAGGGAGGCCTGGGCGCGAGGTTCTGTCTTCGGTCTTCTCCGAATGGAGGCGGGAGGGTTTCCTCTCTTCTGCGTCGTGACGGGTTCCTTCGACCCTTACTTTGCATCAGCGAACCGACCCTGCCGTCCTTCAGGACCTGCATGGTGCCGTCAGTCCCGAGTCAAGATCTCTCATTTGAGAGATACGAAATCTGGATCTCAGATTGCCACGAGCTAGCGGCGACCGCCTGGTCTGTAAGGAGAGTGGGAACGGGACTCGCCCAGCTCTTTGCTCCTCCCTTCTTCTCTCCCCTCCGGGGAGCTAGAGCAGGCAGCACGGCGGAGGGTGGCCGCTGGAGGTCGCAGTGGCCAAGAGATACCACCAACCCGGCAGAAACGGAGAACCGTTGATTTAGACTCTCAAGCGGTAGCTTCACTTTGGGGTTTTGCCTGAATGCTTTAAATACCAGGCCCTGGGGCCAAAATGTCTTCACGGGTCTCTGTGAAATTTTACTACAGCTGGTAAATCCAGCAAAACAGGAATCTTGCCCGTGTTCACTGCTTTAACCTGGGTCTAGAAGGGTCTGCAACCTAGCAAATGCTTAATATTTGTTACAAGAATATTAAACTTCTCGAGGACGATTGTACTTTACTCATTCCCAGCACTTACTTTAGTGTTGGATGATCCCAAGGGTTTCAGTATTTGTACAGTGTTCTAGCACAGGCTTCTTGGAATGCAGAGCTTAATTCTGTGTATACCCCTTTCCCCAAATCAGGGGAAACGGGAAGTCAGGAAGCTGCATGCTGGTAATACCATGTTTTCCCAAGAATGGATATCAGATCCAAAGCATCTATAGAACTGAAAATACTGTATGTGGAAAAGATGGAGAGCGGGTCAGGCCCCAGAAAAGAGAGGCAGGATAGAAGTGGTCAGTATGATGGAGAGGCCAGGTTGGATTCTAAGCGGAGACTGAACCCTGTCATAGGAGAGGAAAGTTTCCCCTACTCCCCCTTTCCTATTAAAAGCCAGAAACCAGCACCCTCCTTCAGCCCCCTTTAAAAAATGGGTCCTAGGATCTTCTTGGTCTCCAAGAGGTGGTAAAGACACAGACAGCGACACCAGAAGGCAGCTATAGACTTGTTAAACTTTATTTCCTCTGAGTCTCTGGGGAGGCAGCAGGGATGTAAGGCGAAGTGGCAGTAGCTGCAGGGGCCTGAGCAGAGCTGGTGCTGGGAGGGGCCGACATGGGCAGGACGAGGAGGAGATTTAAATATCCAGGATTGAAAGCCAGCTAATGGGTCTCTTCCATCTGTCTTTGGATTTTGTGCAGCATCTCCTGCATCCGCCGCAGCTGGAACAGGCACACACAGCGAAATGGGGCCATTTAGAATTCTACAGTGTTAGGGAAGTGCACCCAAGCTCTGATCCCTTAGCCAGGGCCATCGTAGCCCAGAGTTATGATGGAGACCCTGGGTAGAAGAATCAATCCCTCAATCCAGGACCCAAATAGGTCCCAGAGCCGGATCTTCCTACTCCCAAACCACAAAATATTGAGGTTTATAACTAAGCAGGGGCCTTCCATGCTGTCAATCCCTACCACCCCATACTGCTCTCACCTCCTCATCTTTCTCTCGGATCAGCCTCTCCGTTTCTGGATGTGTCCCTGGTGGGACAGCAGGGATGGGAAAGTCGGTACCACTCTCTCGAGTCAGTTTGCTGAGGGGAAGGGGGAAAGGGACTTGGTAAGGCTAAGGGGACCCCAGCATCTGCTTGGACTGAGCCCAGGGCCTGAAGAAGAACCAAGGAAGGGCTTGTTCTCACCCAAGGCTGCGCTTGGGCCCCCCACACCCTCTGTACACACACACCCCCACAACCCGCCCTCTGTCCTGGCTTCTGGCCATACTTGCGATTCCTTTCTTTCACCACCAGGCGGGTCATGCTCTGGATGCACTGTGCCCTGTAGTTCTCATAATGTGTCTCCCGCGTCACATCCTTCAGGTCCTGCATGTGAGTACGCACCAGCATTGTCCTCAGCTTCACAAAGTCGCAGTGTCCTGGGTTTTCCACTGCATAGCAAGGCTAGGGGTCAGCCAGGAGCATGGGGAGAGCTTCTGAGGGCAAGGAGATACCCTGGTCACAAGCTCAGTGTTTTACCTTCCACGATGCCCCAGGGGTAGAGCCGGCCCCGAACTCGCCGCCCTCTGGCCTCTACCACAGTGTTGCTGCCAATTACAGCAAATGGGATGCTTTCCTGGAAGAAGTTGGGGGGGGGGCTGTCAATACCCCCCACTCTTACCTGTTCCTTTCCACCTATATCTCTATTTTCTCTGCTTCACTCTAGGAAACCAGGGTCCTCTCCCACCCCTTACAAAGAATTCTACTTCCCTCTTCTGCTCCAAAGAAACAAGATGGAAAAGGGATGCCCTGGGGTGCTCCCACCTTTAGGGCTTGGTCCTGTAATTTGAAGTCCTCATCCTCATCAGAGTCACAGTCTGGGAACTGATAGACCTTGATTCCAAAGCGCTCAATCTCCTCTCGGATCTGGCAAACACATGAGGGGCCCACAGTTCTGGGGACCCCATCCTTTCCAGAAGCCCACCTGCTCCCCTCCCCCCACCAGCTTCCCTCACTTTGCGTTTCTTGCGCTCCACTTCAGGAGGTGTCAGTGTGTCCGCCTTGGCCAAGATAGGCACGATGTTGACCCGCTGATGCAGGGCCTTCATGAATTCAACGTCCAGCGGCCGGAGCCTGGGGAACAGGAATGTGTGACCACAGGCTAGCAGCAGCCCCGCCCTGGCGCTCTCAGCCTGCTCCCTTGGCAGCACCTGGCGGTGACAGGAGCCTCAGGCTCGGACCATACCCGTGGCCAAAGGGTGAGATGAAGTACAGGCAGCAGTGCACCCTGTTGTCTTGGATGTTCTTGCGGTTCAGGCCGCTCTCGTCTCGGAAATACTGCTCGAACTGCTGGTCGATGTATTCTGCCACAGGCTTCCAGCTGGGGCAGGAACAGACAAGCAGAGAAACTGTGGGAGTGGGGACTGCCTCTTGAGCTCTGGGACTACAGAGTGGCCCATGCCCTGGGCAGTGTCCTCAAGCCTCTGCTATTCCCTGGCTTGCTTGCCCACATCTCCAGGGAGGTACCTGGGTGCAACAGGGGTGTATCTCACCTGTCCCACTAGAAAACCAGATGGAGCACACAGGCAAAGTTCAATAAATACTAGTTTGATGAGAGAAGACCGAGGTGACCAGACCAGTAAGAATAAGGTGCCTGCAGGTGAACACCAGCTGGAAGCCCTCAGTCATGTTCACAGTGAAGTTCATAGTCCAGCCTCTGAACCTTTGCTCATGTGCTTCTACCCTCGCCTCCACCTCTCTAAACCCACCCCATCCTTCAAGGCCATAGCCAAGAACTCTCTCTTCTGTGAAGACTCCTTGCAGTGGGCACAGTGCTCTCTCCTTCTCTCCACCACACTGTGAAATCATACATCATATGATTTTATAAACACACACACACACACACACACACACACACACACACACATTCAAGAACTCCAACTTTCAAGTCTTTTGCTCTTCTGTTATTTAGGCTCATCCTCACTGACAGGTGCCCAGACAGGTGAATATGTAAGCACCGTCACTTTCATTTCATATAGGAAGGAACTAAATCTACAGCAGCTAAGAGACCATCCAGATCATTCTGGCTAGCAAATTTTCTACCCACCCAAGCCCTTGACCTTCTGACTCCTCCGTGTGCTTGCTGCAACACTGCCTGGCCTATTCACTAACTTGAGCTGATTGACACACATGTGAGAGAACAGCTTCTCCCCCTCCCCTGACCCCCACTAGGACCATAAGCCACTCACAAATCAGGATGATTCACACTTGTTCTGTAGCCTTAAAATGTCCAGCACTGGCTGGACACCTAGTATGTGCTCAATAAATTCCTGCTGGTTGACTGAACGAATGTATGTGCAGGAGCACTGTATACTGTGAAAGGCCAAACAAATGAATTACTACTGTGAGAGAAAGGAGGAAGAGGTAAGTAGATTGACTGAAGGAGGGGATGATACTTGCTACAGTAGGAACCAGGTGCTGGCGGGCGTAGTTTCACGGCAAGCCCGGGGTGCTGAGACATATACCTAGCAATGATGATATGGAGGCCACCTCGATCCTTCGGGAATATTTCCATCAGAAGACCACAAACTGTGTGCCAGCACAGTGCAAGGGCAAGATTATAAGAAGAAATGGCCCTCCCCACAAGGCTAAGACTGCAGTTGAAGATGAATGCGCACGTTAAGCCAAAACATCACATACAGTAATGATAAAGCCTGGGGATCCAGAGCACAGAAAGGTCCATAAGGGTCTGCTGAGTCTGTGAGGCAATTACCCAGGGTCAGCTTTCTGGGAGGGCCACCTGTGGAGTCAGCACAGGGCCCTGATCTCAGAAGGGCCCACCCTTGGTTTGCTTCTCTGCAGTGGCCATCTTGAAATCTGTCACCATTTTCAACAAGGGACCCTGCACTTATATTTCGCATTGGTGCTGCAGTTATAATCTTAAAATCCATGAGTGTAAACGGCTCTTACTTTCATTTTTAATGCACATTCACATGCGTCATTTGGGGTGATTTTCAGATCAACTGGGCAAAGTGGTAAGGCCGGGATGTTTCAGCTGAAGAAACAGGAATGCTGTCATTTGCTCAAGCCCACGCAGTTACTTAATGCTGGATCAAGGTCTGAACTCAGTCTAGTGGTCTTAGCACCCCCTGCCTGACTTCATTAAGGGCACCCCCTCTCCTGTCTTTATCACTCATTCTCCTTCTCTTCCAACAACTTGGGTCTGACCATTATCTAAGCATCCCTCCAGTTCCTGAAAAAAGAAAGCCAAGGATGATGGCATGTGTGGCAAAGCCACCTTTTCTTCTAGCCTAGAGGGTGCCTGGAGTTTAAACAAAGCTCAACCTGTTTGTCTCCCCTTCGCCTCTTCTTTCTCCTCCTCACCCATTCCTCAAGGCACTCTCATCCCTTTAATAAAAGTGGTTTGTGGCACCTAAAATGTGGCTGGTGAAAGAAAAGGAAGGAGGGAAGAGGATGTTTATTGAGCAACTACTAGATGTCAGGCCCTGTGCTACATGTTTTCAGTTGGATTTACTTTTTTGAGGCTTACTTATCTTAGATCTTCACCCCCACTAAGTATAGGTCAGAGTCACAAAGGACATTAAAGAACATCTATTCCAACCCTTTCCCTCTCATTTTACAGAGGAGACAGCTACCCCATAAGGAGCAGTGGCATGCTCAAAGCCACAGACTTTCCTCCTGAGGATTTTGGTTATGTCTTTGCCAATGGATGCTCGTGTATGGGTGGGTGTGTGTGTAATGGGAAGAGGGCATCTGGGACTGTGCTTGGTCAGACATACCACTCTGTGTTGTTGACTGCATCCCCAAAACCCGGTGTGTCCACAATGGTGAGCCGCAGCCTCACACCCTTCTCTTCTATATCCACTGCATGTTTAGTGATCTCCACAGTTTGCATGATCCGCTCTGGAGAAGGGGGAAACTGAGGCCAGGGCAAGGGCAAGGACCTGCCCAGTCAGGACAAACCACCCACCCCAACCAGCTCTGCTGCCCAGACTGCCTCATCCATACTGCCCCCCTTCCCACCCCAAGCTGACTGGGGGCCTGTTCTCTGGGAACCAGCAAGGAGCACATTTCCCAACACAGGAAATGCCGGTGGCTGTTGGCTCTGGCCCCAGCCTCTTCTCTGCTCCCGGCTCTTTTCTTGGATTCCTGGAATCCTTTGGGGGTCAGAGACTCAGAGAGCAGGATTCTGGTCCCTGCCCTGCTTCAGCACCCAAATCTTTAGGGAGCTGGCTGGTGGGCTGCCAGGCTACATAGGCCTACAGAGAGATGCCGTCAATCCCTCTAGGAAGCCATGGTTTCCTGCCTGCTGGGGAAGGCCCCAGGCCCCAGGCTCTGGCGTGGGTTTGATTTCCCAAGTCTACAGGCCTGTCTGCAAGCCCCTCTCCTTTCCTTACCTTCAGCACTGAGGAGTTTCCGGTCCCGGTACAGATCGGTGAGGAAGAGGCTATTGACAAGAGTGGATTTCCCCAGGCCAGACTCTCCTGATGGGGGAGAGAGGACAGAAGATAAGAGCTATAGCCAAGAGGCAACCCCATTAGAACAAGCTGTGGAGGGAGCTGCTTTCTTATCTAATTGGGAAGAGACAAACAACCATAGCATTTTAGAGCTGGAAGGGAGCGGAGAAAACAGCTTGTCCAGCCTTCTTATTTGAATGAGGCCCAGCGAGGGTAAGAGATTGCCCAAGGTCACACAGAAAAAGGCAAATATTGGAAAGCTGTTGATCAAGTGTTCTTTGTACCACTTCAACGTCCCCTCACCCCCCCACATACACACTTTTGGCCACCCACGGCTCTTGGTTATTTGCCAAAAAGACACAGCCACTGGCTGCTTTTTCCTTCCTTACCCATACCCCCTCCCCACATATATACTGTCCATACCTGCAACACCCCTACCCAGTCCAGTTCTTCCCCTCCTCTACCTGCCACCATGAGGGTAAAGTCAAAGCCCTTCTTCACAGACTTCCGGTGAACTTGATTGGGTAGGGTCGCAAAGCCCACATACTCCTTGTCATCCTAATGGACAGGAAGGCAGAGTGCATCAGAGCGAGAGGCAGGAGGGGCCCCAGGACCCAACACCAGCCTTCTCCCTCCCTCCTAGGTCTCTGCCCCCCCGCCCTAGAGGAGCACTGTCACACTCCTTCGAGGGCCCAGCCAGGGCCACCAGCCAGGCTTCTGCCCCTGCTAACAGTTTCCAGTGCACATGAGGGTCAATGCCACGGAGCTAGGGCTGACACAAGACAGACAGCCCCAGGTCAACATGCATGCATGCGTGTGCACACACCTATACAAACACACGTGCCCATACACGCACATACACTCGGGATCTCTCTGCTCCCTCCCTGGGTCTTCCTGCACCAGCCCACCGAAGGCCAAGGGCTGGAGGTTCTACCTCAGAGGAGTCATAGGGATCAAGCTTGCCCCAGGGGCTGCGGGGCCGGGCTGAGGGGCTGAGAGGGGCAGAGGCAGAGAAGCACTGCTGGCTGTCAGAGGCCTGGGACCACGAGGGGGGTCTGAACTCCAGGTCATCCTGGTAGAGGTCCGGGGCCTGGGGCCTTGGCTCCAGGACTTGGGGCTTGGACCCCCAGGTCTTGGCCTCTGGTTGGTGGCAGCTCTCGCTTCCTGGGAAATCCTTCACGAACTTGTTCAGTTCTGTGTCATCGGTGTCCTCCAGGAAGCACTTGATCTGGGGGGGTGGGGAGTGGGTAGGTGGCACGAAGGGGAGAATGAAGGAGGAAGACAGGAGAAGGTAAGAGGGAGAGAGAGGAAAGCGCTTGCAGTTAGAAGGGAAAGAAACTGCACTAGCAGCCAAGCCAGAGGAATACTCCCCATCCCTCCCTCACCTGCTCCTGGGCCTCCCAGTGGAGACATCAGGAGAGACCCCAGGATCCAGGAGCAGCCCTGGGCAGCCCCCAAAGTCCTTTCAACTGCTGTTGGGGTCTGAGTAGCTCTAGTCCTGATGCTCCCTCTCAACAGGGTGCTCACCACCTTGCCCTTCCTGGGGATCTGGCCAAGACATGGTCCAGGGACTGCCCTAAAGGCCAGGAAGCCAGACTGAAGAACGGGGAGCAATGGAGGCATTAGAGCTGAGAGGAGGACGTGGTTCAGGATTCAAGGAGAGTGCAGATGGTCAGTCAGAATGGGGGACGGGGAGTAGGGTGGGGTGAAGGGAGCTGCCGGCCCAGGTAAATCAAGGGCCAGCAGGGGCTCTGTGCCAGCTGTCACTGCACGTCAGTGAGCTCTAGCACCGAGGCGCAGACTCTACTGGGGGTGCCCACTTCCCAGGGCTCACTGCAAAGAGCTCAGCACAGCTGATCTGACCCCCCCATCCAGACACTGTGCCACATTGGAACCTGTGCCGAGGCCAGAGGACAGAAGGGTAAACCTGCCAGTGGGATGGAAGTGAGCTGGGAGAGACCCAGTGAGGGAAGATAGGAGTACGCTAGGCTGCTGACAGCCCCTACCTGGGAGGGACATGCAGGAGGAAACACCCGTTGGTTGTCTCTTGCCCCCTCTACCTGGGGTAAGCTTCAGCCTTCAGTGTAGGAGGGGAACTGGCCTGAGCCGCGAACCACAGGGGCGGGTAGGCAAAGAGTGGCCAACTCCTCTGTAGAGACCTGTCCACCCCCATCTCCAGCTTGGAAGAGAGGTCACTTCCCCCCAGTCCTGCCATCCCCTCCAGATCCAAAAACTTCCTCTCTCATTTGGGAGCCAGCCCCCTTTGTGGAGTGCCTGGCAGTGCTGGGCTCAGCTCTGCCTCACAATACCCACATGCCACCTCCAGACAATGGACAAGGGCCGGCTTCAGCGGCTGACTCACTCTCTGCGTTTTGGCCAAACCAGTGGGGGCTATCCCAGACCACTATGGAGTCCCGGTCAGAGTGCGGGGAGACAAGATGGCCACAATCTTCTGCAGGTCCCCAGTTTACAGGGCAAGAATTGAGGGAGGCAGACATTCACATTGCCAGGTTTATGCCAGAGGGAAGGGACTGAGATAGAGAGGATGCAGGGAAAAGTCCCCTAAGAATTACCTTCAGGCTGTCGCCTCTCACGTCCCCACACCTGCCTGTAGCTATAGTCTCCAGGCCCCCCCTGGACAGAGGGAAGGAAAGAGGCCCTTTAGCCTGGAACTGGAACCAGCATGTGGGGGCTTAGTGAACAAAAGAGGCTGTCCTGAAGCAAACCTAACAGGCTTTTCTCACCCATAATATTTGTGGGATCCCAGTGGAGTAACTGTCCATCCTAGTTTATTTGCTGCCCTGGCATAGTGATTAATTGTGCCCCTTTTCACACAAAGTGTCCCAGGTTGGAGAATTCATTATATCGCAACAGAGAAGGGATGGGGCTGCGGGGGGGTGAGGGGTATGGGGTGCAGCAGGTCTTGTTTTCTGGCAGCTAGAGTCTGGGGAATTCCAGAAAATCCTCCCTCTCTGCATAACCCCACAGTGACCCAGCACTTGGCCCCGGTGAAAGACGACTATGTTTCACTGGGTTTCCGCAAGGACACTGAGCAGAGGGGCAGCAGTTAAGGGAGAGAGGAAGACACTGATGGGGACCCCTAACATCCCCAGTCTTCCAACAGTCACCAGGAACCCACCATTCCTGGGTTCCCTGCCAGTCTTGGCTGCTTATCAGGGAGGGCCCCACAGAGGCTGTAGACAAGGAGTTAGGACACTAGGGTGTTCACCTCCTATCTGCTCTCCCCCAACCCCAGCTCTCACAGTGACTAGATCACTTTTTTACTTAAAGCCCCAATCCCCATCAAGGCAGGAGGGGAGAGGTCAGGTCCCCCCCATCTCCCAGAGAAGCACCTTACCCCAGCTTCAGTCCTGTCCTCAGGGACAGAACTGCTTTGCCATCCCAGTGAATGGTCCATGTCCCAGGCTTCGGCAAGCTCTAGTTCTAATTTTATCTCCCAGGCAAAGTTCCTCACACACGGAAACAGCCTGATCCCGATGCTCTTGTTGTAATCCAGCTTCCTGGCTTGCTCCTTTCCCTTTCTCTTTGACCCCCCCTGTCTCTGTCAGGGGCCAAAAAAGCCTGTGGAATGTCGTTCCCCACCCCCTCCTCCTCCCTTTCCCTTGGCTCCCACCCTCCAAGGACAGCTCAGCTGCAGCAGGATCACTCTGTTTCTCTGCAGTCCCCTCCTCCTCTGATTGGCTGTCCCATGACGCCTGCCCGCTGCCTACCCCGGTGGGCACAGCACCAGCCTCCCAAGTCTGTCTGCAGCACAGGCTCTTGATCAACCTGGCCTCTCCTATTACCCCCCAAGGACCCCGAGGCCTGCCAGAGGGTCGTGAGCTGTCCCCAAGGTGATCTGGCCCATCGGTACATGGGGACAGCCACCCAGGAGACTCCACTCCTAAAGGACTCCAATCTCTTTCACCTTAACTTTAAGCCATGCTGAAGTAAGGTGGGAGGTCTTATAATCCCCTTGAAATATGTTCTCATGGGAACAGCCCTGCTTTTCTGCCCAAATGTCCCTTTGTGTTTTCCTAGCAGGGAACCCCACTGTCTTGGGAAATCTGCCCCTAGATTTCCCTGTGGAGTCCCAGCCACAGGGGACTCCTCCCACCCAAGGATACCTGACCTCTGACTCACGGGGACCTATATCACTTCCATCACCCCACTGTTCCCAGAGAGTCAGTGGAGGAGCTGCTAGCACTTGGTCTCGGAGGGGCATGAGTTCTGGCCCAAGGGAAGCTGGCATCCCAGAAGCTTCAGAACGGCCAATTAGGTGGGAGACAGACCGAGGGGCCTGGCTGGGAGTATGCACATGGAGTCGGAAGACCAGCGTTTCTGGTTTGGCCAGAAACACCCTCTATGATTTTGAATATTATCTTAATTTCAGGGCCTTAATGTCCAATTGTGAATGGCCCTATCTTGCTTCTCAGGAAGGCCGGGGAGAGATACCTCAAGCTTTTGAACCTGAGGAGAGAAGGTGCATTTCAAGTCACAGGATAATTTTTAATGTTGGCCTGTCATTCTTTTCCCATGCAAACTGAAACCCCGTTGGGTTCCTGGGCTGGAGAGCACTCCCCCACTGTACCCACTGACCTCCAAAGTAGCTGGGACACTGATCTCCTTTCAGAGAGAGACCCCTTACAGAGGAGTCTGGCTTGACATGAACACGTCAGCCTAAGAACTGGGCCTAAAGGGCCTACAGCTGACGACTCTGGTCGTGGTGGGGTGTCTTTTAATTAGAGCAGAACAGGGTGGCTTCAGCCAAGCTGAAAGCACCAAGACCTCAGCTGAACTGAACTCCGTGTGTGGCAGAAAAAGCCCCTCTTGGTCCCTGCTGGGCTTGGCATTGGGGACAGTCCATGCTTCCCCAGGCTTCCATCACTGGAACAATCACTCTGTCTGTACCCATGTGGGGAGAAGTGGGGCAGGGATAAAGACAAGCACCACTTGGCCTCTCCCAGGAACCCCCTTCTGGGGAAGGTCACAAGGTCACCAAGACTTCCTAGCCAAGCCTTGGGCCTCAGCCTAGACACAGCTTGAAAGACAAAAGCTCAAAATGTTGGCCTTTCGAGACCTGGAAGCCTCTGATTCCAGTGGGCCCAGGGAGTTCCTTTCTCGAGGCTGCCCACAGCCGACATCCTGCCCCACAGGCTGATCATGGATCTCCTCCTTCTGTAAACAGCCTGTGCCTCCCAAGGCGAGGGCAAAGGCTGGGGGGCTTCCAAACTGGGAGGAGAGGCTGGCATGAGGGCCAGAGACCCTGACCCCCTTCATAATGCATCTGTGGCAGGCTCTGGCAAGGATGGCAGCAGAAAAGCTGACCCCCTTATAGTCAGACATCAAAGCTTCCCACCTGGGGGTCCCAGGAGGCAGGGGGGTGTGACTATTTCTCCTCCAGACAGGTGGCAGGAATGAGCTCGCCCAACCCCCACTGCTGCAGAGGGATCTGGTTTGGGAGTGGGGCAGTGTACAAGGCAGCAGGAGGAAGCCTCCTATGGTTCCTGTCTGAGAGGCAGAGGGACAGAGCTGATCCCATGGGTAGGATGGTGGGCAAGGCTTCGCTCTCTCAGGGGTCCCCGGGGCAGAGGACGCAGTAGGAAGAGCCTAGGAGCTGCTCCATGCCAGGCTGCAGGAAGGAGGGCTCAAGCGTCTCACCATCCCTCCTGGGGAGGCAGGCACTGTTTGTAGGCCTCCTCTGTGTGTTTCCCAAAGGAAGTTGGTACTGGCCCCTGAACCCAGGGCAGGTGGGCGAGGAGGGGTCACCCAGGTAACAGCTGACTCAGGCAAGGGTGGGGGACCCTCAGCTCAGCCTGCCGCTGACGCGCCTTCCCCAGCCCAACAAGCGCGTCTCTGCTGGCGGGCCCCCACCCCCACCTCCGCTCAGCACTGACCCACCCCTCGGTCCAAGAACACCGGCAGCACCCCAGGACTCGGGGTCCGCTCCGTCGCCACTCGAATCAGAGGGAGAAACTTGGAAGCTGCGACGCAGCGCCGTCCACCAGCATTGCCCGCCTGTGCCCGCAGCCGGAGACAGAGCCGGGGCTGCTGCGCCGCGGGTCCCCGCGGAGCCGCCGGGAGCAGAGGGCCCTGCGCGCCTCGGCCCTGCCCCGCGCCCGTGCGCCTTACCATGGCTGCAGCCCGGGCCGGGCCAGCTCCTCCTGGACAGTGTCCGAGGGACCCGCGGCCGAAGCTGCGAGCCGACCTCGCCGGACCGCCGGCCCCCGCCCGGCGCCCAGAGTGCGGACCGGCCGGGGGCGGGGCCTGTGACAAGGGCGGGGCCAGCCGGCCCTGGGGCGGGGCCTGCCCTCAGAGATCGCCGGCGCCTGCCGGGGTGCCCGGGACGGGCGACTGGCGGCGGGCGGCGGGCGGCGCGTGCTGTGGGCCTTGCAGCCCGAGACCCCGGGAAGCGAAGAGTGCGCAGAGGAGCTTAGGACAGCGCTGCACTGGTCACCTGGCTCGTCCTTACTCAGCCCCTAAGAGTGGCCTCTTCAGGCAGCACATCACAGTGGCGGCTTGAGCAAATGCCCAAAGAAAAAGGAAGGGCCCACCTGGCATCCCCAGGAGGAGATGTTTTTGGAAGGAGAGGGGTTTTGCCCCACGAGTTGGGAGAGAAACCATTAGTTACCAAAGGTTTGCAGGAAATGAACCCCACTGACGTCCAAGTTATTGATTGTCCCTACACACTCCATACCTCCTAAGGTAGAACGTTGGACGTTCTCTACCTCTACCCAAACTATGAAGACGAGGCAAGAGGTTCCCTTCCTGCAGGGCCCTAGATTAAAGATTAAAGAGGATTTGCTGCATAAATTATCGAGGGATCATCTGCTGGAAGGGTGGAAGGGAAGAGGCCTAGTGGCCTTTATGGGTCAGTAAAGCCTTGTCTGAGGCTGAGGAAAGTGGGAGGGCCTCAGGAGAGGCCAGCCCAGGCCTGAGCCAGTTCTACGCTGGGCAAGCAGGTGAGATGCTGTGGGGACAGATGCCCCAGCAGCTTTAGAGGCATTAGAGGCTCAGAAGGGTCATAGCAGCAAGGAAGAAGTAGATGCTTAGAGGGTGGGGAGTTGGTAGGGATCTCCTGAGCTAATACAGGTCTGAGCTGGTCAGCTTCTGTGGAAGTTTCCAGAAGCATGCCTCTCCCTGATTTCCAAGAGCCTTCCCCAAAGCAGGCTGACTGGCCCGAATACGCTTTAGACAAAACTGAGGCCCACGTACAACATGGCACTCTCTCTCTCTCTGGAAGTGCCACAGCCTGCCTACCTATTTCTGTCTGATCTGTCACCAGTGGTCACGGTTGGGATCAAGTTAGAACTTAGCAAAGAGAGGGAAAGGGCCTAGGTATGCAGATGAGAACCAGCTCAGAAAATGAGGCATGACTATTGGAGAAGTTATTGGATATTTGGCATTGGTGGACTGAAGGATGGGGGGGGTGCCTTTGCTTAAAGAAATCAGGGGTATTCATAAGCTAGCAAGCTGAGGAGAAACCTTCCTAGGTGGGTGACCTTGGGCAACTCACTTTACCTCTCTGGACCTCATTTTCCACACCAGAAAATGAGAGAATTAAATTAGGATAAGGGCCAGCAGCTTGGCTCAGATAAGAGGGAACCTCTGAAGGTATAGAGAGGTTCCTGGAAAAGGCCTGTGCTAGATCAAGAGATCTGAAGGAAAACAAAGACATGAAAGAGTTTCTTTAGAGAAAAACCAATGGCTATTGGAATCCTGCAGAAGTAGCAGCAGCTGCTGCCGTCAGACCCGAACATCAAACTCCAGCTACACAAAGCCCCACTGTTGGGAACTAGCTGTAGGCCACTAGTACTCATGTATGCTCTCATAAGACTTCCACTGGCATTCTGCACGGCCTGGGCTAGGGGTGCTGGGCCAGAGTGGGGGGTGGGGGAAGCCCATGTCAAGGAAGACAGGCTCCATCACAAAGCCTTGTTCTCCACAATTCTAAGTTCCCTCCTCCCACCGCCCCAGTCCCTGGCTGTAGTCCAAGTGTAGACACAGACACATCTCAGAAAGCAGCTCGGCTAGCTCATCCTCAGCTGCGGCTGGAATCCCAGCTCTGCGCTGGCACCTGCTGCCCAGGCACCAGCGAGCTCTGTGTGTCCTGAGGCACGTTGGTGCCCAAGCTTGTTTAAGGGAAGTGAGCCCCTAGGAGAGGCCTGGGACTGTGGAACTCATCTTTATGCCAAGACTCTAAGGAGCTTGGTGCTCACAGTGCCTTTGTAATCGCTGTATCCGATGCCCGACAGGAACCATGCTAAAAGCATGCTAAAAGCTAAAGGCAGACTTTGAGCCATCCATAAACCTTGAGTGCTAACCCTGCTGCACTCTGGGTTTCTGAGAGAACCTGGCCTAGGCTTAGGACCCCATGCCAATTTAAGTGATTATCTTACTGCCTGAATGCCCCTTCCCCTCCCTAGGCCTCCGTTTCCCCCACTGAAAGCTAGGACCAGACTCCCCACAACTCTAGCACTCGTGTTCTGGGGTTGGTATGGTAGAGTCTGACACCCAGGCAGAAGTGAAGCTGAGATGCAGCAGCCCTTGTATGGGTCACTGACCACTGAGTGCTCCTCCCCACCTCCAGTTAGCACATGGCCGCCCGACATTGCCTCAGTGCCCCTCAGCTCCTGGAGCTCTGGCTCTTCGTTACGATTCAACATCCCACCAGGAATTGACATCCTTGACTAGAGTACAATTTCCCAGGCACCACTGGAGTCGGGGTATGCAGGCCAAGGCTCTGGGGAGTGGACACTTTGTTTGGCACAAAGCCTGAATCTCCTGAGAAACTCAGATCAGCACACACCTCCAGCCTACTAGACAGGGCTCCCTCCGCTTAGGTCAGGCCAATGTGGTCTGTGTTAAAAAAAAAAAACTCCTTGCCCCTGCCATTGGACCTTTCCTGCCTACCCACGGGTGAAGGTTGTGAGGCACCAAACTAAACAAGGATGTTGCACGTGGACCAAGCCAAGGCCCAGGTTCAAAAGCTAAGAATAAATAGTGATTACCACAGGAAATCAGGATCTCTGATTTGTATGACTAGCAAAGGCCACTCTTGCCTCTGTGTAGCAGAGTTTCTCTTAAGTGGTACAGGAACTGATTGTACTTCCCTTCCCCGAGCGGTGATGAGTCACTGATGATATAGTCAGAGGGCTCTAGTGGGACCAAAAGGGCTAGCGCTGGGTTGCGTCTTTCAAGGAAATCTTACCTTATCTGTCCAGAAAGGTCTGTGGCAAGAAATCAAAATATCCCAAGCCCCTCCCCTGTCCCTATTGTTCCCCAGTGTCCCAGGATCCTGGGGCAGGCCTGAAATATGGGTGGCAAGGCCGGAGAGCACAATATTTCCTGGCACCTGCTGTATGGCTATGGTGAGGGGCAGTTCTGGAGCCAGCAGAGGGCAAGAGGCACGCAGAGGGCCCTTCCAGCACCTTCTCTGCAGTAGGGCAAGGCACAGGAGCTGAGAGATGGGACTTACATATACACTGGAGTGCGACCCCCCTTCAAGGGCCTCCACCTTACCTCCCAACTTGCTCTTGAATATCTCCCATGGCTAAAAACGCACTGACTCTACTGCCCTTCAATCTTTGGGCAGTAATTTACCAAAGGTCTTCATCATACAGAGTCAAAACTTGTGTCTACCTGGACGACCCTCCAAGTGTCTCTGTGCTAGAAGCCTTGCTAACTCATTTCACTGGACTTTGTTTGGTTCTTTGATGTCCATGCCCTTTCAAGGGACCCATCTGTATACTTTCCTCTCCCAAACTAACCACAAGCCCCTCAAGGACAGGGAGTATATCTTCTATTTTAACCTCTACTCATTTCAATTCAGTGAACATGTGATGTCATATCTTCCTGGATGACCAGGCCTCTGCCCCCAGGAGGTATCTGATCAATATGAATTGACTGAAAGGTTTCATTGATTGGCTTTCCACTCTGATTTTTGGAGCACAGACAAGCCTTGAGGCTCTTGGGCTTTACTGGCCCAGAATTTGCCCTTCATTCTGGCTGTTCACCAGCTCATACTCACCTCCCAGCCTCATAGTTCACATGCAGAGACACAAATGTTACCCTCACTAAAGCCGTTCCCTTCGTAATCTGTGATGTCTGAAGGTACTGCTGAAATATTGAGAAGTGACTTTGCAGGAAGATGTGGCTATGGGAGAAGGGTTTCTATACCATGTATAAATCCTAGGGCAGGATGCTCCCTAAAGTGCTCTCGATTTTGAGGTGTCAGCTCTGAGCCTCAGTTTCTCCACTAGTGAAATCAGGAGAAAAAATCCACCTCATGAGATTGCTATAAAGATTCACTAAAGTAACATGCTTAGAAAGGTGTACAGAGGGGTGCCTGGGTGGCTCAGTGGGTTAAAACCTCTGCCTTCGGCTCAGGTCATGATCTCAGGGTTCTGGGATGGAACCCCGCATCGGGCTTTCGGCTCAGCAGGGAGCCTGCTTCCTCCTCTCTGCCCGCCTCTCTGCCTACTTGTGATCTCTGTCTGTCAGATAAATAAATAAAATCTTAAAAGAAAGAAAGAAAGAAAGAAAGAAAGGTGTAGACACTAAAATGAGTGGTAGCTATTATCTCAGCTAATGAGAAAACTATCAACACCAAATCAGCAACCATCAGCTGTCATGATGTCAAATGCTTTCCCTCCAAAAAAATGAGGAATGTGCATGTGTAATGGGTGTAGAGGGATGAGAGAAGAGCCTGAGACTAAAGTGACATTGGAATGCCCATGTTGCCACCAACTGTAGAGTCAGCCTCCCCAGCTAAACAGCACTCCAATATCTAGAAAGCATGTCTCTCGATTTCAGACTTACTGAGCGGAATCCCCAAAAACAGCCATTGTGGAGACTCCCGGAGCTAAATGACTTTGTCTGTGATGGGAGTGCCTAGGAAGTGACTCTGGCCAGCCCTATCCTCCCACCTTCAGTGCCTCTCAGGAACTGCCTCACATTCTGTTCCTCTCCTCCAGGCGTTCCTTCAGCCCCCAAGGTGCAGCTGTCTCTTGCCTCTCCCCTCCTGGCAGCTGGGCCAAAGGCAGCTGAGCAGAGGAGGCGAAAGGGACACGGTCGTTTCTGTCACTCAGGATAACCTTCCTGTGGCTGAGCAGCTGTCAGGGTGACTTCTGTGTCACAGATTTTCTTCCTCACCCAAGGATGCTCTCTGCCCTCTGAAGCCGAGCTCCCTCATCTACCCAGATCTACTATTTCTCCTCTTACTTGAAAAACTCACCATCTCAAATACCACCAAGATCTTCTGACAGTAAGATACAATGTTGGAGATGGGTTCCAGGCAGGGAACCAAGGAGCAGCTTCTGGAAATACACCAGAGAGTCCAAAACAAAAGTGGCAGATTCTTCCCTATGTAGAATCATTCTGAGAACATCAACAACAACAACAACAATAAAACCCAAGGGATTCTGGCCTCAATTCTGCCATCAAGCCCAAGGGAGGGGCATAGGATTTTCCTGCCCCCATTTCATAGGCAGAGTGACAATCTGCTCAGGTCTCACAGGGCAGGCAGGACATCACACCCCTACCCTGTGCTTCCAGTGGCTCCTGCTGATGTACACTGCACCTTAGCCTGTCCTAGTGGTCACCATTTGCCCTAGTTTGCCCAGGACTGGGAGGTCCGGTCCCAGGATACAGGTTGCTAAACCAGGAATATCCCAGGCAAACCCTGATGAGTTGGTCAACCTAGACTGTCCCCAAAATAGCAAGTGTGGGTCAGAGGTTATCAGCCTCCCATTCAGCTCTGGACTTCGCTGCCCATGGTAGCTGGAAACGAACAAGGCATCACCTGACAGAAAGAGCAGCTGGGTGGCAGGGGTCAGGCTGTTATGAAAAGCCCCCCAATGTGCCCTGCCCCACTTTCAGCAGCTCTGCTCCATTCTTTCAATTCCCTCTCTTCTCAACTACAGGCCTCTGTACAAAGCAAGAGAAAATGAGGGCAGTGGGAAAGATGGTTCAAGGGTTCCTTTCAGGCAGCCCCCCCCACCCCCCGGGGCTCTGTTAACATTCCCAGGAATGCAGAGCAGCCCAGCATTTCTCCTAGACTCTGGGTTTTTTTTCTGTCGAGGAAGTCTACCTGAGCAAAACTTCCCCAAGACTCAAGAGCCAAAGAGAGGCTGGTCATACCATCCCAGAGGCCAAATGACATGTCACTTTAAAGACACCAAAGTCTGCCTTAGGTTTCACTGAGATGGCCTCCCCTGGTTCCTGGCCTCTTTTCCAGAGTTGGTTTCTTGCATAATTGATAGACATAGAAGGGAGTAAACCACCTTGTCTGCTGATAGCCTGAGACATCGTTTTCAAGGGCAAGTAAGTTAGGTGCCTTGAGGACAAGGACCTTGGGGCCAAGGCAGCCCCATCCATCAGGGGCGTTGCAGCCCTTCCCATCAAGAGCTGCTTTATTCCAAGGAATTCCCCAGGGCTGTGTGAGAAGACAGCCCCAGCTGACCCAATAGGGGACCTTCCTGTTGAGCTTTTGCTCGTTCTGATACCAAAAACAAAACCATTAGGAATGCTTCCCTCAGTTCAGCATAACCTTCTCTGGGGAGATTCCAGCCCCTAATGTACCAATCCAAGGATGAGAAGCATCTGTAAGCTCTGCTTCTTGGACAAAAGGGCCTTGAGGAGCCACTTGGGAAGAGACTGACACTTAAGAGAGAAATGGTTGAATCGGGCTCTGGCCCCAGCTGTGGACCCAGAAGGGCTTGTGAAGCTCAACAACAAACACGCGGCCGCCCCTAAGCCAGGAGCTGTGGCTGGCCACCAGAGAATGCCTGCCAAGAATGGAATCTGGAACAGACTCTACAGTCAACCATTCCCAGATCAGAAGAACCAGAGGCCTTGGACATCCACACCACAGATTCTCTCTTGTGGGATGGCCTGTGGGCCATGCAGCCTGGAGAACAGAATGGGGAAGGCCTAACACTCTCACGCTTTTTGAGAAGCCCTTGGCCTTCTCCATGCCACCCCACTTCCAAAGAGCCAGAAAAGACAGCAGGCCCAGTCTCTCCCCAGCTTCTCTTCCCAGCTTCTGGGGAGCAGTCCTGCTGCAGAACAGGGCTAGAGAGCTGCAATTATCGAGACAGGATAAGAGCTATTTTGGGAAGGAGCCATCTTGCTGCCAAGGCTTTTGACTTCCGAAACTAAAACAAGATGCACCAAGAAGGAGAGTGAAGGTAGGGGGAACAGGGAGGAACTTGCTCAGCCCAAACCATCATATCCTGAATGAGGGAAAACACTAACCCGTTCCCAAAGGTATGTAAGTGCATCAAAGGAGTGAGTGAGAGGCTAGCTATTAAGATACCCCTGGCTTTGAGAAGGAGGGTATAACTTGACCCCCAGCCACACACACATCCCCTTGATGACGACTCCCTCTTTCCGAAGACCCTGCAAGAACCCATATTCAGTCTGTTGCATTTATTTGGACATTTGAGCACAAACTATTTCATATTGTTGTTTAAAATGTTTCCTGTCTGTGTCTTATCTCCCCAACCAGACGGTAAGTTTCTCATGGCCAAAGAATGTGTGTACTCTGAGGTTTCAATGCTTCACCCACACCACAACCCCACCGCCAAGCAGTGCCTAGCGGAGTGCTAGGCATCTGAATAAAGTTGTTTATGGAAGGAAGGGATAGAGGGAGGAAGGAAGGAAGAGAAGAAGGGAAGACGGAGAAAAGGATTTACCGTCTTGCGTGGAGGTAATCTCTAGAAGTAGCTGTTCCCACCCACAGTGGAGCTCAGGGCGTAGGGCTGAATAGGAAGCCGTGGAAGAAGGGGTGGCAACCACATTTCTGGCACCTCCCCTTCAGCTCTTTCATTATCTGAGCTCAGGCTATCCTGCCCCACCTCCCTTGTTTGTTTTCTGTTTCTGTCTGTCATTAACTGTCCATCCTGGGCTAGCCCATGTGTGGGACCCATTAGAAGCCCATGCTAGGCTTTAGGTAAGGTAGGGATAGGGTGAGAGAAAGAATGGAGGCAGGAAAAGCTCAAACTATCTCATCAAACATGGGCCAAGAAGAACTAAAGTACTTAGAGGAACAATGCACTGTGAAATCAGGACACTCTTTGCCAAATTCAGGACACAGGGCTGCCGAGAGCAGAGTTTACCTTGTGCCTTTCAAAGTTGAGAACTCAAATAGTGTGTAACCCAGAGAAGTGTTCCCTTTCTGGAGTGCCGTAGGCTGTAGCAAGGAGAGCCAAGTGGAGACTGATCCAATGTATGGCTTTCCAGACAGCCTTCACATGGCGCACTTGGCAGGATTTATCATCTCTCCAGCGCTGCAACTACCTCAAATAGCGCCCTCTGGGGAGATGCAGCTCTACAGGTGCACAGTGCGGTAAGGGGAACGCAGGCTGGATTCTAGCCCCCACTTGCCCTGTTAGGTGCCCTTGTGCAGTGAACAACTTGCCCAACCATAAGGAGCACTTCTGTCTCCCTCCATTCTTACTTCCATGAGAGGTTAAGAGAGGGACTTGGATAAGGGGGAGCACAGGAAGAACGGAAGTAACTTCCCAGGGGTGTTCTTACCTCCTCATCTGTCATAATGGAGAAGCAGAAGTCGGGCATTCCCGGGGGCAGCAAATGGAATTCAGAGAGTACCAACAGGAGGGGAAAAAGAGAATTTTACTAAAGATATTTAGTAGACTTGGGCATAACCTGGCCCAGTATCCCAGTGCAAGTGGCTCAAATAGCAACAGCTAGCATTTACTGAGGGCTCACTGTTGCCAGGCACCACGCTGAGTACTGTAGCACCATGCTGTACATGTAGTAGCTTGGTCAGCCCTTATAAGGATCCTAAGAGGTTGCTACCATTCTCATTAACAAGGAAGCTAACGACTGGAGAGAGAAAATAACTTACCCAAGGTCACCGTGAGAAAATAAAGACAGGGCTCAAACCCAATACTATAACTTCAGAGTCCATTCTCTACTAACCTCAACTTTATAGAGCTTTGCTCCCTCTGAGGGGCAGGGATGCCCTTCTCTGCTCTGCTACCCATCATTCAGAGGGTTTGTGCTGGTTGGGACTGGATTGCCCTCCCAGGGCTCTTCCCCCAACCCCCCAGGAACTTCCTCATCCAGAGCCCTGGCCTCCCTCATGCTCACAGACTAAAGCATATTTTGAGCTAGAACATTCAAAGTAGGAACTCCTTGCTACTAAGATTCACTAAAGGAGGGTTGGTCCCTACCTTCCCTCCCACCAGAGAGGTCAAGGGAACAAAGTGGGAGGAGGGTGTCTGGGACACTTCTCTTAAAGATTCTAGAGTCAGGGGCAGCTGGCTAGCTAAGTTGGTAGAGCACGTGACTCTTGGTCTCAGGGTGGTAAGTTTGAGTTCTATGTTGGGTGTAGAGATTACTTAATAATAAAATCTTAAAAAAAAAAAAAAGGATTCTAGAGTTTGTTACAGGACCTACTGATGGCCTCAAGGCAGAGGCCTGACATCCCTGAAGACCCTGCTGGGTAGCAGTCAATGCTCCCCAGGTCCAGCTATGGGGGCTTGAGGAGAGTTCTGAAAAACCAGAGAGAGACGAGAGGAGATCCATCAACCTGAATTAGTGTGGAGTCAGCCCTGAGGAAGACTGTGAAATAGGTAGTTTGTCTTGGTGACTTTTTTGGTTTTTTAAAAAAATCACATGAGAGGCAAGTCCAGCTCATCTGTAAGGCAATGGGCTTAAACTGTTTTCCATTCCAAAAGTGACTACTTCCCACTGAAAAGAGGCTCCTGAAAACAAAAAGTTTCCGAGTCCCAAAGGAATGACTCTAACAGTGGAATTATAGACAAGATAAGGATTTCCTCTGCTCCTTCAAGTCAAACCCTGGTCCTGACAGTCTTAGCTCTATACTACACAGAGATCACCCTCCCACCTGTCCTCTTGCCTCCCAGACCCCACAATGGATCCATAGGACGGAAAAGCACAGACCTTTTAGCCAACAGATGACACGAGTGTACATTTCCTCAGAGACATCTGAAAGTAACAGAGATTGTTGCTTTTTTTCACAATGTGGGATGTACATCCCTCCCCCCACTACTTAACATCTCCCTTTCTAGTTCCACATTTCTCCTCCCAAAGATGCCCTCAGCCCTTGATCCTCTCCATGGAGCCCCTGAAGACTAAGACTAATTTCCCCGCTCCCTTTTCTCCACCCTCTTTGTGCCGCTATTAATGCCTTTTCCCTCTTGGAAGTCAGGGTCCTAATGTATCTATGCCCCCACCTTCTCCATTTTGTTGTCAAAATATTTACCTGAGAAACTTATTTTCTTTACTAGTCCTTACCAGCCCTCACCCCAGCTCAGTTCTTCATTCCTCCATTCTTGGGATGCACTTCCCACCCAGCAAACCACTCTCTACTACCTTCCATTGAAAGGTTAAGCAGCGTTGCCTGGAAGAGTCAATGCCTGATGCCAGCCCAAGCATCGTCACCGATGTCATTAGCTTGGAGCTCAGAGAAGCTGGAGGGGAAGGAATGGAGCAATGGACTCACGGGTGGGACTAGCTTTAGCACTGCCAGGAGGGCAGCTCTGAGGCCCAGAATGAAGAAGGGGCTTTTCCTGCCCACCCCAATGTCCCACCTCACTACTTTGGGACTGCACCTGGGCAGACTGCTTCTTCACATACCCACGAAGAAAGCACTAAACCTTTCAATGGGTTGTTTGCAGGTACGCTTGAAGGCCAGTGGCACTTCGCTCAACAGTGCCTGATTTAGAGACTCCTTTGGTAATGAGAGTGGTGGCGGTGTTGCTGGTGCTGGTGGTGGTGATGGACTTGCCTTCTCTCTCTGGAACATCATTTCCTCACAGAAAGGACTTGAGTCCATTTCAAAAAAGGACAATAAAGGATCTGGGGGAGGAGGGGACTCAGAATCAAAATCAGGTGTTGTCGGCCGGCTTTGGGGTGTTTCAACTTCAGGATTGAGTAAGGTCCACCATGAGGAATCAGGCCCATACCTAGGTAAGGACCGAGGGGGTAAGGGCCGAGGGGTCAGTTCCAGTTCTGCATGGACAGAGGGCTTTTGGGACGGTCCTGGGGACATGTAGACACTTTCTGAAGGCCTTTGGGTGTGCTGCTTATAGCTGCGCTCTGGAGTGACAAACGTAGGTTTGGGGGGGCTCTCAGACATTGCTCGAGATGCCACCTGGGGTGCTGGGTGTAGTAACTGTCCCCCTGGGGAGATGGTTACCCTACGTCCAACCTCGCTGTCTCCTCGGGTTGAGGGCCTCAGGTTGGACTCTACTTCTGTTGATATTAAGATCTTCGGGGAGGGCTTGATGTCAGCATAGACAGAATGCCTGGGGACAGATTCGGGATCTGGACGTACAGAAACTCGGTGTCCACCATCCAAATCCTTAAGGACAGAGAGTCTGAGGGACGATTCCACATTCATATTCTTATGCAAAGCCTTGGGTTCTGTACAGATTGAGCTGGGACGATTCATTTCACACTCCTGGCCAAGGATCCTTCTCAGGGCTGTCCGAGAGTCTGCATTGACATGGCCACCGCTATGTTCTGGGCTAGAGGGTCTCCTTGGAGATCTGATCTCCGTAGCCGTCAAACCCTTTCGGATGGGCTCAGTTTGTACTGCTTCATCCTTTGGGCAAACTAAAGTCCTACGGCGAATTCTGACCCCTTGTGGGTACTGGACCTTGGAGGGTGGGTCGTCTTCTTGTAAGATTTGTAAGTTATCCTTCTGGTCCACAAAACTCAACCTGCGAGAGGATTTGGCATCTGAGATTAATGAGTAGCGATTACTCATGTCACGCCCTGGCTTGCTCTCAACCCCTCTTCGTGTTGATTCCTCTCTGGATGGACTAACATTGCGCTGCATCTGGACACCATGGGAAGCTATCTGATTTTGATGGCCCTTTCGATGAGGAGAGGGATGGCGGTATGTTTCTGATTTTGATCGAGTCTCACTTCCTCGAGGGATGGGTGTTCCAGCAAGGCCAGTCCCTGATTGAGGGGAGCTGGATCGAGGATAGTCTGATGTTGAATGGAGAGTGGTGAGATGCCCAGCTTCTGATCTTCGATGTGGTGAAGGGCTCATTTGGACCGAAGCATGTCGTGAGCTCGAGGCAAGAATGTACCCTTGTTCCCGCTGAGGAGTTGTGTTGGTATCCTCAGACCCTTTTGGTGCTGAAACTGCTACCTTGGACCCAGCTTTATTGGTCTTGACCATCCGATACATGGAGCTCCTCTGGGCAGATCCCATATTTTACTGGCTGGCTTATACTGAGGGTCTTAGTGGAGTCTGGAAATTTCCCCTCAGTTTTAAACGCTGCTGTTCTTGCACTCCCACAAAAGTGGCTGTTATTCTAAGAGTGTCTCAAATAGTCCCCTTAGCTACCTGCCTGGTGATGTCATAAAGGAAGGAGCTTCCTACTAAACATCCTGGCATACAGCCACAATTTTTTTAAGTAGACTCCATGCCCAGTGTGGGTTAGAAATCACGACCTTGAGATCAAGAGTTGCATGGTCTACCAACTGAGCCAACCAGATGCCCCTTCAGAAACAATTCTTCAGAGAATCTCAAGCAGTAACTGCAAGGAAACTGAGGACTTATCTTTGGAGTTGACACCACCAAGACTTTGGCCAAGTTCTTAGCAAAACCAGATTTTCGTAGTACACATAGAAGGCTCCAGATTCTCCCTTCTAGGGATTCCAAGACTCATCCAGAGAAGAAGTCAACCTGATTATTCTACTAAGGCAAGGCTACTTAACTCAATCACTCTGTGTTAGTCCCAGTTTTAGTAAGACACAATTACAGAGTTGTCCCAATTTAGTTTAGAACTGCACTGTATAGAAGTAAAAAAAAAAAAAAATAGAGCTCCAGCCTCTTCTAGGTTTCAGAGGTGGTTTTGGTTGACCCTGAGGTAAAAACCCAGATTGCACAAATCATAAATTCTCATATTCTTGGCCCAGGAGTGAGCGTAGGACTGTAGGAAGGATTCGAAGTTAGTCATTGGTTTCAATCATTAAAGATTCATTGTGCACCTTAGACAAGTTACTTGACCTTCCTGAGCTTTGGTTTCTTCATCTGGAAATCAATGTCTGGGTAGATGTCATATAACAAATGTTAGTGTCCTTTCTTACAATCCTCTCCCCTCAGCTATCCTGATTAGATGGACTCTGGTTCTTTCCTGATTTGAAGAGTGCCTCTGCATCTTGGAAGATCATTTTGGATCAGAGACATGATCATCTTTCTTTCCCTTTCATATTCTCCTCTCCACCATATCCACATCCCACTTTGAAGGATCATCATGGTTATATGATGGTCAGATTCATTGTTTCTGGATCTTTAAATTCACCTTGATTAAAGACAAAGTTGAAACCAAAACCAAACATGTTTTTAGGTAACAGGAATCTCAATAGACTGAGAAACCTTGAGCTACTGACACAAGTCTTTAGAATATAAAACACTTGGCTAACCATTATATCTTGCTTTACAGAAAAGGATAAAAGTAGAATAATATTTACAAGTCAGATATCTGAAAATACTAAGGGTAAGCCAGGTTGAAGTGAAGATGTTTCCTATTTATACTTATTTGATATCTTATTGTTATAAAATTGATACTGGCTGACTTGAACAAAGCTTTCCTATGAGATTCTATTTTCTTCCTTTTTTTTTTTTTTTTAAGAGAGGGAGGGGCAGGGAGGAGCAGAGGGAGAGATAGAACTGTAAGTAGGCTCCATTCCCAGTGTGGCCATTGGTGGGGCTCAATCTCACAACCCTGAGATCCTGACCAGATCCAAAATCAAGAGTCAAGATACTTAACCCACTGAGCCACCCAGGCATCCCTGAAATTCTACTTTCAATACAATGACTTATTTTTTTTTTTTACAATGACTTATTGTTATATAACCTTTAAGCATGAGACTATAGTACTTATTTGTCTGGGGAGATTATATTTCTCTTTATAAATTTATTGAGAGAGTGATTTTGAATTTCCCTATCATCATGGAACATTAAGTCTGCTCTCACTTTTTTTGATCTTATTAAAATTAGCTCAGTTGTTTGATTGTTTATATTCTCTTAATATTGGGGAAATATATACATTTTCCTGTCAGTGTTCAATTTTAGTATAAGTAAACACAAAAGGGTGATTTTTGCAGAAATTTTGCAAAACACACACAGAATCTTGATTATTTTCCTCATCGTAAATAGTCTAACTTGAATCAATCTGTACCTGAGTCACAGATGGGTTCTTTGCAGCTGATCCTCCTTTTTCTTCCTGGCAGGAATATGGTGAAGATAAAATGTGATGACAAGTGTAAAAGCAATATTATTTTATTTTTTTTAATGGAAGGCATATAGTGAGGGGCAGGATTGCCAGGGATGGCTACTTAGTTGGGCTCTGTGGTAGCCTGTCTTCAGATGGCCCCCAATGACTCACCTCCTAGTTGTCATGCCTTTGTGTAGTCCCGCTCTCACTCTGATTCAGGGTTTACCCTCTGTGACCAATAGAATATAGCAAAAATGATAGTCTTTGACTTCTCTTTTTTTTTTTTAAGATTTATTTATTTAGGGGTACCTGAGTGGCTTTGTCAGTTGAGCAACCAACTCTTGGTTTTGGTTCAGGTCATGATCTCATGGTCCTGGAATGGAGCCCCACAATGGCTCCTCACTCAGCAGGAATTCTGCTTGAGGCTTCTCTCTCCCCATCTCCCATCTCCATTTTGCACACCCTCCCCCCCCACCAGCTCACACTCCTCTCTCTCTCATAAATAAATCTTTATTTGAGAGTGAGAGAGCACAAGCCCGAGGGGCAGAGGAGAGGGAGAGAGAATCCTAAGCAGACTCTACGCTGAGTGCAGAGTACAACACAGGGCTCAATCTCAAGACCCCAAGATCATGACCTGAGCTGAAACTGAGTCATACACTTAACCAACTATGCCACCCAGGTGCACCAATGGTATGTAACTTCTGAAGCTAGATCATAATGACATAGCACCTCTTGCCTTGGTCTCTTGGATTGCTCACTCAGGAAAACTAGCTACCATGTGGTGAAGACAGTCAATGGGAGACCCAGGTAGAAAGGAACTGAGGTCCCTAGTCAACAGCCAAGGCCAATTTGCCAGTTATGTAAGCCAAATTGGAAATGCATCAAACTGTAACCTCAGGAGAGACCCTGAGCCACAACTGCCCAGTGGAGCTACTTCTAAATTCCTGACATACAAAAACTATTAGAGAAAATAAATGGTTATTTCTGGGATCAAGCCCTGAGTTAGGGTCTCTGCTCAGCAGGGAGTCTGCTTTCCCCTCTGCCCCTCCCCCTACTCACACTTGGGCTCTCCCTCTATCTTTCTCTCTCAAATAAGTAAAATGGTTATTGCTATCTTAAGTCAGTAAGTTTTGGGGTGACTTCTAATGTAGCAATAGGTTATGTAGAATCAATTTCTCTAGTGTTGACTCTCATTAACCAAGCACAGAGCCCAATATGTAAACCAAAATAACAACTTACTAACACACTTTGAGACACACAATTGTTGAGTGGAATGGAAAGCCAGGTCATTTTCTCCCTGTAGACAGACCAACTTCAAGAGGAAGAAGTTGCTTGGTGAACATAGAATTGGATCAAGAAGTTAGTATGATGGTCCACGAGAGGGCAACACCTGTCACACAGAACTAGATATGCATAGTGGACCTCTCATATGCCCACCCACAATGCTTTAGCTAAGCATCCATCCCCAATGTCTGGCTCCTAAAACTTCATTTTCCTATGCTTTACACTAACCATTCCTTTCTTTTAGGCAGCTTTTCTTCAAGTGAATCCTAACAAAATTGACTACATTTATGGATACTTAATTATGACATTATAGTCCTGCCTCCAACTATTTAAGTATTCCTAAACCCTTTCTATTCTCCAAACTGAAAATAGCTTTTTAAAAAAAATCTTGTATTTATTTATTTTTAAAGATTTTATTTATTTATTTGACAGAGACAGAGATCACAAGTAGGCAGAGAGGCAGGCAGAGAGAGAGGAGGAAGCAGGCTCCCTGCTGAGCAGGGAGCCCAATGCGGGGCTCGATCCCAGGACCCCGGGATCACAACCTGAACCAAAGGCAGAGGCTTTAACCCACTGAGCCACGCAGGTGCCCCCAAACTGAAAATAGCTTAAAGAGAATTATAAAAAGTTGAAATAATCTGAAATGACCATTTTACTACTTTGATAAGCATCTTTCTAGATATCGATGCATTTGTCACATGTAGATATTCATCCATTTTCATGGGGTCATAATGTACCTACTAGCATACTACTACTTGCATTAGTCAGTAACATGTCATGGGCACCCTTCTCTGTCAATAAATCTATATGACACAATTTCTAATTAGCCTGCTTATGGTTGTTCCATAATTCAAAAAAATTATTGGGGTAAAAAACATAACATTTACCATCTTAACCATTCTGATGTGTATAGTTCAGTGGTATTAAATACATTCACACTGTTCTGCAAAAAAACAAAACAAAAAAACCCACAAAAACCAACTTGGGTCACCTCCTTCTCAATAGCAAAGCACTATCACTTTGCTATTGCTTGATAAACCTTGCTTTGCTACCCACCACTGTCTGGTCTTCCTCTTCATTCTTCAAAGTGGTGTGACCAAGAACCGTAGGCACCTACAGAGAAAAAAATCCTGTAACAATCCCAGGGTCCTGGAATCAAGTCCTGCTTTGGGCTCCTTGCTCAGCAGGGAGGCTGCTTCTCCCTCTGCCTGCTGCTTCCCCTGCTTATGCTCTCTCTTAATAAATAAATAAATAAAGAAAGAAAGAAAGAAAGAAAGTCTTAATTTTAAAAAGTCATTGGGGTTTTGATAAGAGATTGCATTGGATCTATAGATTGCTTTAGGCTTATATTATTAACATGTTAACAATATAACATCTTCTGTTACATGAACATGTGATGTGTTTCCATTTATGTCTTAATTTCTCTCAGCAATGTTTTGTGGTTTTCATGGCACAAGTGTTTCACCTCCTTGGTTAATTCCTAAGTATTTTATTATTTTTTTAAAAATTTTTATTTATTTATTTAACAGATAGAGATCACAAGTAGGCAGAGAAGCAGGCAGAGAGAGAGGGAAGCAGGCTCCCCGCTGAGCAGAGAGCCTGACGCAGGACTCCATCCCAGGACCCTGAGATCGTGACCCCAGCTCAAGGCAGAGGCCTAACCCACTGAGCC